CCGGTGATTTTCAGTGGTAAAAACATGTTTACGCCAACTGAAAATAACTCGCTTAATTTTGGTTTTAGAGTAGAAGCACCTATTATAAAATTAAAAGAACACAATATTCCGGAGGGCAAGACGGTGCGTTTTTTTAAAAAAAAATCATTTTTTTAAAAGTTAGTCATTTAAAAATGTTAAAATAGCCGTTATTTCTAAACTATGTATTAAGCGTTATACTTGGAATAATGAAAAAAACGCACCGTCTTGCCCTCTGAAATATTGTTTTCTTTTAATTTTATAATTGGTGCTTTTACTCTAAAACCAAAATTAAGCAAGTTATTTTCAGTCTGCTTAAACATGTAGAGATGAAAAAACATTTTAATCGCTTTCAAGGATGCTGTGATAGTCCAAAAAATTAATTAACTACCATAATGTAGTCTTAGTTATTTAACTAATAATTACACATCACAGTTTAACCTTTAAATTAAGATTTTGTAAAATATTGCCTATACTTTACTCCTTAAAAATGGGCGGTGCGAAGCCCTCTTAAGGGGATTGTATGCGGCTGTTTTTAAGGAGTTTTGTATAGGCAATTTTCCCTTCAAAATTGCCTAAGGAAAGAGAGGTTTTAATAAATGCCAACTATGTCCATTAATTTACCGGTTAATTTGTATAAGCTTTAAGGTATTATTTTTCATTTAAATAATTTTTTTCATGAGTAAAAGCCATTTTGGTTTATTTTAGACCAAAAATCCAGACAAAATTTCGACTAAGTAGTATTTTTTAAAAATAAAACCTATTTTTTTACATAAAATAAAATGATAAAATGTTCATTTACCCACAGTTTCAACAAACATTTCGTTCGCGGCCAATCCACTTTTCCCGTAATTTACAATGTGCACTGTTACCAATTACCATCATCACAAAACATGACGTATTATCTATAATAATAAAGGACGCTAACAGCCATAGTGTCTACTCTTAGATTACAAAATTATATGATCTAAGGTTCTACCACTCATTACTTTATGGTAACAGCCTGCCCGTTTGCTGCATAGAGTAATATATGTTTAAATAAATACTTATAATATTTATAGTATTTTAGTAAATTTTATAGTAAACAAGCTGTCCGGACCCGGCGTTGCCCGGGATTTAGTTTGCCAGGACTGAGTAAAATAATTCCCATTTTCCCATTTCCACACCCATCCCCGTCCTCACCTTCATCCCGATCTCCACCTCCATCCCTCATCTCTTATCTCTTATCAGATAACAGCGTGACATGTTTTACACACTTTTTTCGGTTATCATATCACCCTCTTACTTAAGGGTCCCGTTCGGAGTCCCAGTCCCAGATCCCGTTCCATTAGTTAAAAGCTTGCCCAGAATCGGTCTGTTCCTTTAATAAATAATAAATTAGTCAGATACACGATTAAAGATATATTTAATCGTGGTCAGATATTATGTAAAATTGTAGAACTGATAACATAAAACAGGTAACCCGTTTTACAATTTATTTTATGGTATTTTGATCAACGACACTGATTTTGACACTGTAAAATATATCCGATATCGTCGTTGCTAAAACCTAATTGTTCAGGTGACACTAAAACGTGTAAAACAATTTATAGTAGGTAACATATAGGAAGTTTTATTTTTTATTTTCCATTTATTCTACAATGGGATACCACGTTGGACATTTCATCATACGATAGCTTTTTTTTTCCTGTATCCAGGGATACCAAAACCTCAAAATCATAAAATTCGCACATTGGAGGTTTTTTCGCGGCAACGAAGATATACATATACCGTTTAGACTTAAATCTATGAAAATTGGTGAGAGGAATTTGGTCATAGGCTCCCAAATGATCACAAGTTACCACTTCGGTAATGACGGTAGGTGCATTACCACGATTAATGATATTCTATTTACGCCGGCTTCATGGTCCTTTTTTTTCCCTAGGTTATAAGTTATAACTATGATTGAAACATAAAAGGTTATTGCACATATCGTCGCTTAAGAAGCAACACGACCTATCTCATTTTTGTCAATTTTACAGTAGAACAAAAGAACTGTTTTCTGTGAAATTGATGGTACCTGCATAGACACGATGTAGAGAAGATAAGGTGACGTCAAGAAATTACGGCATTTTGGTAGTACAATTTTGTCACGTAGATAGCGCCACCATTCGCCCGGAGGCCGACTTTTACATGGAGCTAATAGGGTTTTTTACATATTATTATACGTTACTGTCATTTTTATTACTAAATAAAAATATATTACTAATAATTATATAAATAATAATATTTGATTACAGGTCTATAGATTGTATATTATTTTAAAAACCACAATATTCGTATTCGTAGTCTAATTAAATGTACTATTTATTCTAATTCCTATTCCACAAAATACGTTTATAGTCGAACGATGACTATCCTTTTATAAAAATATGTGAAATTATTCTATACGATATATAATATAATAACACGTATTATATACAAGAAAAAAATTGTCCTCAACTAGAACCCCCCCCCCCCTCAATATCGAATTTTAAGCACCAGAGAAGTTTTTCAAATTGAGTTGATAGTTATTGAAGGTCTAAAGAATAATAGCACGAAAATTTCAGCTCCCTAAAAACTCTAAGTGAAACTAGACATTTTTACAAGATAAAGATTATTCTATGATAATTAAAAGGGACTTATGAAGTAGGGTATATTAAAACGGGGATCGGAGAGTTATTTAGTATAAAATTATATTAATACCTCTGACTTAATAAACGGAGCTTTATCCATTCCAGTGAACACACGTTAGTGTGCTTTTACATAACAATAGATACATTTATTCCGATTATTTTAATTTCTCCCCGAAAAATAAGTATTGCTTGTGTAAGGTGGATATTAATTACATTAATAAACCCCAATTAAGTGTCTCCGACAGCCCGACTACCATTTAATTCAATCCCAACCATACGTGCAATTCCTAGGGACGAAGCAGATATATTCTCTACAGTGTGTTCCTAAGGATGATATTTGCATCACCAATAATTGTTTATATTTTGTGTCTATATAATAAACCGTGGCATATATAATTACATAAAATACTGTTGTTCGTATTCATTTTTATTGGTATCTTTGGCCTTTGCCTTATGAACTTAACTAACGTTCATCATTTAAGGAAATTATCGAACATTCATTAAGAGGATGTCAGCGCAGCCCATTTTAAGGAGTAAAGTATAGGCAATTTTTTACAAAATCTTTACTTAAAGGTTAAACTATGACGTGTAATTATTAGTTCACTAAATAAGATTCTTTTTTGGTAGTTAAATTATTTTTCGGACTATCACAGCATCCGCGACAGTGATTTAAAAATATTTTTTCATAAAAACTTAGTTTTTTACATCCAAAATAACGGCTTACTGAGGGATTTTAGAGCAAAAAACCTTATAATCGAAATTAAAAAAAAAAACAACATTATTGAGGGCATCTCGAATCTTTTTTTTTTTTTATTTCAAATAAGACATTCATTAATTTATTTAAAAAAAGACACATCTTTTGTTAATTTTAAACTCTATAACTTCTAAAAAAAATTGTTTTTCGAAAAAATGGCTTCGAGATGCCCTTTAAAATATTGTTTTCTTTAAATAATCTAATAGGTATTTTTGCATTAATATCAATTAAGAGCCACTATTTTTCAATTAAAGTAAACATGTTTGAGTGCCGGTAAATCGCTGCGCTGACATCCTCTTAAGTTTTATCAAATGGATCCACGGCGTCACTGATTAATTGTTCTATATAGTTAGACTTTATTATAAAAACTGGCGTTTCAAAGTAGGAAGAAAACTAATACTCGAAAATTGAATTTATTCCCTTTTGGAACACCATACCTCATATACAGTATGGATAATTCTTATGAATGCTACTATAGTTATTTAAATGTATTAATATATACATTTAAAGAACTATAATATACTTATAATTAATTTATAGAACAATTCTACACTTATTTATTATTATTACTATTATATAAAATTAATAAGTGTAATGTTATGTATAGGCTATTGAAACCTCTTTTCTTTCACTATAAACATTTTTCATTTCCTTTTTATTCCTTATTCGATTTAATTATCAACTATATATTTATCCTAAACTAACAGATTTTTAATGATACGAAGTTGAGTGGCGTGAGGCGTCACCTTACCTCCTCTACATCGTTGTTGGAACAAAGCTCATATCACAGATTAAAGACACGACTTTTATGAGTAGCTTATAGAGTTATAAAAAGTTATTTTAAAACATGTATAATTAGGTATATACATTTTTAACTAAATATGCAATACTTTTAGGTTTTTAATACTTTTTTATAATAATTCGTATTATTTTATTTATAATTATTTTTTGTTTATTATTGTTTAATTTATATTATTTTTACAATAACAATGTTATTGACTGTGTGTCAATACTATTCATAGTTGATTAATGCTCTGTCAGTTGTCATTCCATATGGTGGACAGCTTACTATTTCTCTGTTAGAAATAAATAAAATTTTATATTAAAAAGTATGCATGTGTTATGTTTATAATACATTACATTTTTGCTTATTGGGAATTTTAAAATGTTTAATTATTGAAATTAAAATCATTGCTCTTGGATGCGTCATACTATAAAGTGTGTAAGATAATATAAAACAACTGTTATTGTAAGAATAATATTATTAAATCATTATTATTATTGTCATTATGGTTATATATATTTATACAAATTTTAGTAAATACAAGAGAAACATTCTGTTTAACTCAATTATTTAACAAATGCAAAAGCCCGCGAACACGTTTAAAAACAAATTCTCTTTAGACGGTCACACTGATTTTGGTGGACCAATCATCTGTTTTCATATATTCTGTGCTAATATATTATATATTATGATTATATCAGGTTAAGAACATGGCCGTCACGTTAATTTTTACATTGAAGTGACACTTCTGCTTTTATCAATTCTGTGCTTAAACATGGTTGCAACTTGCAACTTCTAACTGCTTGCTTTAATATGAGATTATATTTTTATTTTTATTTCATATTTTAATTTTCAAATAACATTCATTTGTTATTGTAATAATTTGTTTTCTGAAGTATAATAATTGGAATAAACTTTTACTGAAATGATGTGTAACGAATAAAATTGTTAAAAAGTACTTTAATATATTTTGAATAAAATAATACAAAATGAGGAATATTACTCAAAATAAACTTATTGAACTTCAGCATAGACCTAGTTCTATTCGTAACATTTGTATTATGGCACATGTTGATCATGGTAAAACAACCTTAGCAGATTCATTAGTTGCTAGCAATGGAGTTATATCACAAAAAATGGTTGGTAAATTAAGATATATGGATAGTAGACGAGACGAACAACAACGTGGTATAACGATGAAAAGCTCATCAATTGCATTATACCATAAAAAAAGTAATAGTATTTACAAGTAATTTGTGATGATTATAATTTATACTATTAATAATTATATAAAAACTATTATATTTTTTTTACAGATGAATTAGAAAACATCATCAATGTTATTGATTGCCCAGGGCACATTGATTTTTTTTCAGAAGTATCTACTGCCCTTAGATTGTGTGATGGAGCTATTATTCTAGTTGATGTTGTAGAAGGTGTTTGTCCTCAAACACAAGTAACTCATTACTAAATTCTTATTGTAAACATTTTTATTATTGTTTACACATTTATGGATTGTTATATTATAGGCATGTTTAAAGCAAATATGGGCAGAAAACATAAAACCAGTTTTAGTGTTGAATAAAATTGATAGGTTGATTTTAGAATTAAATCTAACACCATTAGATGCATATGTTCACATAACTCAAATTCTTGAACAGGTATTACATTTATATTTGTATACTTCAAATAGTTTTAATATTTAATTACAAATGCCATTGATTGATACTAAATAGGTAAATGCAGTAGTTGGTGAACTTTTCAAAAAAGATGTTTTTGAAAGAGAAACAGATACTAAAGAACATAATGGTGTTCAAACAGGTGAAGATTTGTATAGTGATTGGGTTACAGCTATTGAATCAGCAGATGATTCAGATTTGTATTTTTCACCTCATCAAGGGAATGTATTATTTGCTTCTGCGGCAGATGGTTGGGCTTTCAGGTATTACTGAAACAATATAATATCTTGTTCACTTTGTCACCATCGCTGGTTGCTCAGATCTGGATTCCCAATGTGTAGCTGAGTAGTGAGCGGTTTGTTTTCAGTGTACCCTGCCATCACTGGGGAATAGATGTAGTGAAAATTAGGAGAAAAGGGATACTGAAAACAGATTGCCTGAGTGACCATTATGAATACATGTGACCAAAATCACCCTTTGACACAAAAGCTTTAAATCTAGTTTAGTAAATCCTCAAAACGGTTAAATAGATTTTTGACATAAGTCATTTATTGTTGATACCTTCCCCCCCTAACCTTGAGCAATCAATTGATGTAAGATAAATTCTTTTTGAATTTCATAACATAAGTTAAGTCTAATTAATGATGTCCTAAAAAATCAACTGGATTTTTTTTAAAAAGAAGACAAATTGTTAGGCATTACTATTTCAAATTTTACTCTAGCTTAGATGTGGAGTTGAGACATCATTGTTTTTTTAATGATTTATTTTTATTATTATTATTATTTTTTTTTGGACCCATACAATTTTTCAAACTGTTATACTGATTCCTTCATGTAGGAATAGCTTCATGTAAGCTATAGATCAGAAATCATACATAAAAAAGATCTTTACTCGGCCAAAATTTTAAAATTTCTGTCTTTCTATTCAAATTTAAGAAAAAACTAAAAAAAGTATACATTTTTTTCAACTTATTAAATCATACTAATCTATAATAAATAAATAGTAAAAAAAAATATATATGTTTTATCGTAATATTTTATATTATAAAACATAGTTAATGTATGAAAGATTTATCAAAACATTTTAAACAAATTTTTTAAATTTAGTGGAAGTTATTTATGTATAGAAAAGTATGGTAAGTAATGTTTAAACAAAAAAAAAATGTTGGAAATTGTAATTTGAAATATGTAATATCTAGATAACTATTTATTATTATGTTTGATGTTATTTTGATAAAACTCTTGTTTTATTTTAATAATTCACAACTCTGAACATCATTTCAGTATTGTGTTACTACCCAAACTGCTATTTCTTTAAATGTATACAATTTTGAGGATTTTATAAATTTATTTTTTAAATATTATCTAAATACATTGTAAATTTGTATTACTTTTAACTGTTTTAGTATAGAGACTTTTGCAAATTTGTTATCAACTAAGTTAGCAATTAGTTTACCCACATTGAAAAAGACACTATGGGGAGATTTTTATTTAAATATGAAAACTAAAAGAATTATGAAGGGAGCACAAGAGAAAGCCAAAAAGCCTCTTTTTGTTCAAATGATTATAGAAAATATTTGGCTTGTTTATGATATTATTATCAATAAAAAAGTAAGTTGTCTTTCATATCATTTTATCTGTCTAATAATATATGTATACTTCAGACGTGAAATGGCCATTTTCTTGAAATGGACTTTATTCTGTTCATGATTTGTAATCCATTTTATTCAATTGACTACAAATAATTTTGCTTAGTTCATAAACTAACCGGGTAAATGTTCCTTTTATGAAATAGGTGATTTCAATTCAATATCATGTCTGGAGTATAACAAAAACATAAAACATTTTTAATTTTAATTAAAATAACAAGAATAGATTGATGCAGAGCTGAGAAAGTTTCGGTTTACTGTTTACAATGTGTTTTTTTTATATCAGTTCTTTTAATAACTCTTACCAACTCTTTTTCTTCATCTTCACTTTACAATACAATCCCATCTACATGGGGTCGGCCACCTTAGTCCTTCATAGAACTCGATCTTCTACATCTCGTTCAATCACTCGAACTATCCTCATATCACTCTATTTAGTCTATCTTTTCTTCAGTCTTTCTCCCTACATTCATCTTCATAAAACTCTGCCTCTGCCTCAGCCTCATCTCTCCTCATAATATGACCGAACCATCTTATTCTATTCTCTCTCAATTAATGCAACTCCTAGACTGCCCTTTATGTATTTATTTCTTATTCTATTTATCCTAGTCACTCCACTCATCCATTCTAGCATTCTCATCTCCGCTAGACTAATCCTGTGTTCAGTTTTCTTGTCCACTGCCCAACATTCCGACCCATATATCAAAGCCCTATAAAAGCAACAATTATTTATGAATATAAGATATTTTTAAAAGCAATGTAATTGTATGTACTTTTTTTTTAGGATAAAGATCGTTTGACAAAAATTGCAGAAAGTATGAATGTAACTCTAAATAATAGAGATCTACGACAAACTGATACACGGGTCCTCCTGCAGTCATTTTTATCTCAATGGATCCCTTTATCAAAATCTGTGTTAGGTTAATTTTGTTTTCTTTAATTTTAATTTATTAAGATATAATGTGGGTTGCGCCACTTTTATTATATATAAACTGTTATTTTAGCCACATGATTAGTCTAAGAACAGTTTATGGAAGTTTTGCGCAACCCAACATAAATGGATTTTTATGTAAAAATAATAGAGAAAATGTATGAAGTAACAAGTATGGCCTGTGGATGTCTGAGATGCAGTAATATTCAAATATTTAACAAAGACACTTAAAATGTTTTTGTGTAATATATGACAAAACATATTATAGTAGAGGTATATTGAAGTATGTAACACTTTATAAGTAGTTGAAAGACATTTGGGTAATTATTAAAAATAAAAATATAGAGGTGTTTAGATTAGTTAGAAAAATTGTGAACAATAAAGAAACTTGAAGAGATTATTATCCATTCCAAAAGAGAACATACCAGGCGGCAACCGGTATACGTTTGGCGGCGCGCATCTTCCGCCTAGCATCTCCCACCGCGACGTGCTTCGGTTAGATTTGTAGCTTGGACGGTGACCGTCGGGTACTTTCAGCGGCCGCCAGCTGTCATTCGGTATGCGCAAAATCGGTATGTTCTCTTTTGGAACGGATAATAGGTTGGGTGGCTTCACTTACATAGAAATGGAAAAGAAAATTTGTTTTGTATAAGTAATTGTTTATTTTATTAAATATTAGCATTCTATATTGTAGATACTGTTTGTGATGTATGTCCAGCACCAAATAAACTTACGGAAGGAAAAATTGAAAAACTATTATGTCCGCCATTGAGAGAATTCCACTTAATGCCAGAAGAAACAGTAAATTTGAAAAAGGCTTTTTCGAAATGTTGTCCTGATAATAATGTTGTTCCTGCTATAGCTTATGTTTCAAAAATGTTTCCGGTTTGTTACAACTATAAATAACACTTTTTTTAAAAAACAATATTTTCAGCTTATGTATGAAGCTTAAAAACTAGTGATTTTATAATAATGTGTTTTTTTTTTTTGTTTCTTTAGATTAAGCGAAAATATTTGCCACAGTATAGACCAAAAATTTTAACAACTGAAGAAATAGCTCAACGCCGAGAACAAGCAAGGCTTCGGCATACGTTAAGAAATAGTGAAGTTAAATTTAAGGACAATGAAAAAAACAACGAAAATGAAATTCATATTAAAGTTGAAGATCCCAATACAAAAATCATAGAAAAAACAGATAGCGAAAATGATATCATGTTTATAGCATTTGGAAGAACGTATAGTGGAACCATTAGAACTGGTCAAGAAATGTATGTATTGGGGCCAAAGCATGATCCTTCAAAAATAAAATATAAGGTAGAGTTTTACAAGTTGAACAAATAACAATAGTTAATACAAATAATTGTTTTAAAATATTATATATTACTCTTTAGTACTGTCTAATTGTTGAGCCAAATATTTTTTTATTAATAAAGGCTATATAAAAAAAAAAAAAAACATTATATAATTACATTTTCAAATATATATATATATATGTATTTTAATTAGGATATTCAAATTGACGAAAATTGTACTTTGATATCGTTAAAGCCTGATGAACATGTAATGAAAATAATTGTATCTGATTTATATATGTTGATGGGTCGTGATTTGGAGCCTGTAGAAGAAGTCCCAGCTGGGAACATATTTGGTATGGAAAATTACATTTTTTTTTATGATGCTAAATGTAATACTCGCTAGTTTAAAAAAGATTGGGACAATGAAAATACAAAAATTTTCATACAAGTAAATTAAAATATTTTAGTTGTTTTAAAATGTATTCTTAACTGTGTTATGTTTATAAACATTTAATGAAGTGACATAAAATTATGTCTCAACATTAAAAAAATTTAATAATGCATTAATTACTTCTAAAAAAAGTATTTCCCCCCTGATCGTTTACATTTAATTTACCTGAATAGAAAAATAATACTATATAGTTCATAAAGTGTTTTCAACAGGTGCAGGTAATTTAGAGCACTATATCCTAAAAAGTGCCACCTTATCTACTACTCTAGCTTGTCCACCATTTACTGATATCAAAGCTATGGCAACACCAATTATGAGAGTTGCTATAGAACCCAAACATTCTACCGATTTACCAGAAGTCGTTAAGGGCTTAAAGCTACTTAACCAAGCTGATGCTTGTGTTCAGGTAATATAATACGTTTTATTAATTAAACTAATATTTATATTTAACTCAAAACGTATAATTAGATTCATAAGCACAATTTGTTAATAAATAAAAAAAAGTAGAATAACTTAAAAATTAGGCCTCTATTATTCATGGTTAATTTACTGCTACAAAGATATAAAAGATAACATTTTTTTAATTATTTAAAATAAAAAATACAGCTAATTAGTAATTACATTGATCTCATTTGTTTATAACGACTTTAATAACCATATATCAATTTAAATTTAAATTTGAGCAATGTTACCAATTACAATATGCATTGCAGAAGTTCACCCTTTAAACCCCAATAGTTTTTATTTATTATAAAATTATATTAGATAGGTTAACAAACCATGTTCCATGGGCTAAACCAGAAGAACAAAATGCTTTAAATAATATGTATGGTTTAATTATGCATATGTACATCAACTCGAAATTGTAAAATTATATTTTTATTGTCTTAGGCATTCTTTTGGTATTATTTATGCAGTATTTGAGGTATTTTTACATCTTTCCATATTTTTTGATCACATTCTAATGACTTTGCTTTCAAATTTTTAAAATATTTGTCTGCAATTAAGTGATTGATATATACTTTTTCAATAAAATTTAATGTGTAAGTTTTGCTTAAGTCGTTGATTTTTGAATGATCATATGCTTCTTTAATTGTTAATAATATTGTATTCGAAGGAGACCAGTCATCATCGTTCAACCACCTTGTTAATCTTAAATTGGCCAAGTTGGTTGATTCACTTATTGCAGACTTTCCTTTCCAAATTACTGTTGCAAGGTAATATATATCTTCTACTGATATCAAAAATACTAAACAAGACGTTGCACATAATTCAGCCTCCTTTGTTTTTAAATATTTCAACATAATTTCATAAGGCATTACATTAATACGTTCTGTTCCAATACGTTTTAGGTGGCTGCAGTCTTTGCATGTTATTACATTATTAAAATTACTATTTACCACAAATTTTTCTATTGGCTTTAGATGTCTACAGTTAAAGCATTTAAAATAGTTTGATGCTTTTGGTTTTTGATCAATAGCAGGAATTATTTCAGGTTTATTTAGTATGTTTTTAAATGTTATTTCTATTCGTCGTCTTAAAATGTGTAGATCACTATTTTTTAGCTGAAGTATTGTTAACATATCCAACTCCCTGATTAACAAACTTATTATTGGACCAGTTAGGTCAATTTCTTCTATTGTTTTCAATGTATCTATCAATTCCTTGAGTAAATTGATTCTTTCTTGTTTATCATAGTTTCTTCTTTTTAAAGCTATATAATACTTTTTTAATTGTTTTGCATTACATGTGATTTGGTTTTCTATGGAAATTGGCTTTCCGTTATATTTTGAAGTTATAATAGCTGGTTTGGAAATGTAATCTAATTGTTTTAATGTTTTTCTTTCATCAGAAATTTCACCAGCCATTTTCCTTTGTTTATCTATTTCTTTTAAACACTCTAATTCTATTTCTAATAATGTTTTTCCTTCTGCTTTTGCAAACACCGGCATTCTGTGTTTTAGAGCACTTTTGCTTTTACAAAAATTGTCATTTATAGCTGAGTATAAAGCTTCAAAATCTTTCACTTTTGTTGGATATTTAAAATTTAACATGATAATTTGTTCATTGATATTAGCTTGATTTTGGACATATTTTTCTTCTTCTTTTATTAAATTAAGTAGATAATGGTAATAACTTAGCATTCGTTCAAATTTACTTCTCCTTAGCCATATATGAGTTGCTTGTTGTATTGTTTTAGCATACTTATAATAGATTTCAATATGTCTTGTTGATTCATGAGAAACAAATTTACGAGCCACTGAAAAAAATTATTCATTTTATAGAAGAAGAATAATCAAATAATATTAAAATACAAATTTTTGATGTGTAGTTTAGAAATAATGTATTTAGTATATCTATGCAAGGAATTACATTAACTTGTAATCTCTCCACAAACAAATATACTTAGGAAAGTTAAGTTCTTGTGATCATTCAGAAGTCAATATTATATTATCTTGTCCTACCTAGCAAATCTCTATTGTGTATTGGTTCTTTTCTTGACTACAACAGTATTTTATGGCACCCCGCATACGCATGTACCAGTTCTATAGTTAACGAGTTCAGAGGATATTTCTTTATACTTTTGATTAGGTACTCAATATTTCTTTTATCCTCACGGATTGTAGACAGGCGAGTTTTACTTCATTCCTCTCAACCCTTCATTCTAGTAAAATTAATTCTCATACTCTTTCATTTTTCGTTAACCTGCTTAAATGCTATCTTGTTCCCATGCTCCATTCCATATTCATCTTTCCCCTATAAAGTTCCTTGAAGAATACCCTGTTATCTGTTTAATGTGGACCACAGATAATGTCCCCAAACTAATCTATATTTTGCTTTAATTACCTACTGTATTATTATGTTTCTGCATATTATATACAAATTTTAACTTAGGCTTGTCCCAACAAAATATATAAATATAAACTATAAAAATGAATTACTTATTTCTGCTAACGGGTAGGGAGACATAGAAATATCTAGGGTCCCAGTCTGAGTTTCATTTTCTACATAAACTTGTGTACACATATCTCTATTCGTTTTGGTTTGACTCTTATTTGATATTTTATGAGTTTTGTTGTAATCTTTGATATTAATGATTGATTCTGTTTGCGTCATTATGTTTCTGTATAGTTTATCAGTAATTTTGTTCCTATATCCAGTAGGTTCTTTACGCTTTATTACATTAATATCAAGTAAATTTCCATGCTCGGAATGCACATTATTAGGGTTGTTATGCTCGTATAGTTTTTGAAGAACTTTAGATTTTAACTTTGGCACATATAAGATTACTTCTTCAGCCACATGTTCAATACGTACTGACATATTTATTGTTTGATTATTCCAAAAATATTTTAATAACGTATTGTCGTGAACTTCAAATTGTTGATAATCACCACATACTATGCAATTTATTTGTTGAATATTCGCTATATTTTGTGTTAAATAAGGGAATATAGATCGTTTTACATCCAAAATTGAATCCCATGTAGCAAAACTTATGTCTAACATTTTTCGATTGGGAAACATCACACAAACATCAATACAGTCCATCTGATTGTTTACTGAAAAATCCATTTCCATAAATTTTGTTTGAAAAGATAACTAAATCATGTAATTAACAGAAAATTAACTTTTAGACAATAATTCAATTATTTTGTTAATATATTTATAAAAATAAATATTAAAAATTACCATAGTTTTATACAAAAAATTGTATTTTTTAACCAGTAATTCTTATATTTTATATATATACATATATATACGTTTGTAAGCCTATAAACGTGTAGTCAGGTTATTCAATTTTTGCATGTAGAATACCTATGTATTTAATCAGATTAATATAGATATTTTGCAAAATTTGTATGGTATAGTTTGAAAAGAACAGTTTATATATTTAATTATTTAATTATCTACTACAAATAGTTTTATTTTTATTAATGATTTTTTTTTTAAGTACATAAATATATAATAGTATTTTTATTTAGGTAATAATGCAGGAAACTGGAGAGCATGTCATTGTTACAGCAGGAGAAGTGCATCTTCAAAAATGTTTAGAAGATTTACGAGACAGGTATTGAAAACAATTATGAATATTATTTTTATGAATAAAATTATTATATTCAATTTCATTATTTTAAATAATACAATTTATTTTTGTAATTTGAGTTTTAATTAATCGAAAAAATATTATAACTAATTTAACAGATATGCTAAAGTTGATGTGATAGCATCAGCTCCAATTGTGCCATTTCGAGAGACAATTGTTCCTCATCCTAAAATAGATATGGCTAACGAAGCTGTAAATAATCAGGTATGCTTAATATTTTAAATAAGATCTTGATGTATTAACATTTCCTTATTGCCATACATGTATTGTTATTGTATTGCATATTTATGATTTATTTATTATAAAATTGCAAATTATTATTTTAAAATTGGGCTAAATTTGTATATACTATATTCTATATCATATTTTACTCTTGTCCCGTAATATTTTTATGTATAAAATACTAAAATTATTAAAAACTTTTATTTGTCTTATGATTTTCCTCAGTATTAAATTAATGTTATCAGTTTAATAAATCCACCTAAAGGATAATTGTTTTATTTGTGTATAGTATTTATGTTTTAACAAGCAATATTAAAAATATTACTTAATTAATGTTTTCAAGAATCAAGACGATAATCCATCAGGACTTCTCAATGTGTATACATCAAATCATCAATGTTGCATCAAGATATGTGCTGAGCCTCTGCCTTCAGATGTAGTAGACATTTTAGAAAGAAATGCAGATATATTAAAAGCTATAACTGAACAACAAGCAGAAAATATCAGTTGTGCATTAGAATGTATGACAATTCAAGAAACGGCATTTAAAAATGTTAAATTAGCAATTGAAACATTACGATTACAGTTGCAAGGTGCATTGGGTGATAAATTGGATGTCTCCCAAATCTGGGCATTTGGACCAAGGAAATGTGGACCAAATATTTTATTAAATAAAATACCAAGTAAATTCATAACTATAAATTTCTAATACCAGTGTTTATCTATTTTGACTCAGGTTACATCCTTTAAAAGATTAGTTATGTTTAACCTTGTTATATATATATTAAGTAATTCAATTTTTTTTTTAATGAGTGGTGGCTGGAAAGGCGAAAACTCGCACTTATGTTTTTAGCAAATATTACAGTCAGTCAAGCAGCCTTTCCTGCGAAAATTTTAGAGCTAGTATTTTTACATACTTACAATCAAAGATTGTCTGTAAATGATAAAAACAATCATGCTGAATAAAAGTAAAATTTCCCTAAAAAAATGGCTTCATCAATGATAGGCTTTGAAGTGAGATGACAGATCAAGTTTTACACCCAATTAAATAAAAATAAATGTTTGAATAAAATGTGTTGTAACGATCATATTTCACCTGATCGTTACTTCTTGTCCCAAACCTGACACAGCACCTCCTGACTATTGGTAAGAGAACGGTCGCACACACAGGACAATGCACTCGGCGTTGCACTTAATGATTAGTTGACTTTACCATCGTGGACCGCCAATACCCTCGACCTTGCGCCCTTTATTTTTGCCGTTTTGCTACAGCCACCCATCCGATTATCTTTTGTGTGCGCCCGTTTCAACTCCGCCACGACCAGCCATTTGATCGTCCAGTATATATTTGTTGTATAATTTTGCATTTTATTTAGCAATCTTAGCTTAGAATAAAACATCTTGTAGCTTGCAGCTGAGAGTTAGATTATTTAAGAGTGTGACCGCCCGTTCTAACTCCGCGGGCAGTATATTAAATTAATAAGGGAGACTTTAGAGTCACTTAGACGTAGATGCGGCCTAGCCAACCGTCTATTATAGCCTTATCTGCTTAGCCTAGTAGGTACAGTGTAAAACAAAAAGCGGTTGTTCTTTGCACATAAAATATAGTCGATTAACTTAAATGAAAGATTATTTCGGAGACAATTGCCTCCGAGATTTTTAGATGTCGTTTTTTTTTTAAATTATTAAAAATGCGTTTATGACATATGATCGAATGAGTATTGACCTAATGGTTTTTTATTTAATTAAATAAATATATATATTTTATTTGTAAAAATAAAATTTTAGATTATAAAAGATCAGTGTGGAATGCAAAAGATAACTCGGATGATTTATTCACAAAATATGAAAATAGTTTTATAAATGGTTTTCAAATAGCAACTGTAGCTGGTCCTTTATGTGAAGAGCCAATGATGGGCATTTGTTTTGTAGTAGAGGATTGGACAATAGACACTTCACAACCAATTACCAAGTAATTAATAATTTATTTTTTCATTGTTAATTTATAAAAGACTATAACATAATGAATTATTTAAAAAATAAGCGATCCTTATGGACCTATGTCTGGTCAAATAATGTCTGCAGTTAAAGATGGTTGTCGCAAATCATTTCAAGCACAACCACAACGACTAATGGCAGCCATGTATACTTGTTCTATTCAAGCTAACGCTGAAGTTTTAGGTTAGTCACAAAACTAAAAATGACTAGTAAAATGTTTACTATTTATTATTAAATGTATTCTATATTAGGTAAGATGTATGCAGTATTGGGTAGACGTCATGGCCGAATAATTAGTGCAGATATGGCACATGGATCTGCATCTACTTTTAACATAACAGCTTTACTCCCAGTTGTTGAAAGTTTTTCTTTCTCTCAAGAAATTCGTAAACAAACATCTGGTTTAGCCAGTCCCCAGTTGGTTTTTAGTCACTGGGAGGTATTTACTTGCTTATTATTTTACAACTATATTCTTATTTAAAATTTAAACTATTATTGTTTCTCAATATAGGTAATTGATGTTGATCCTTTTTGGGTACCTAATACTGAAGAAGAACTTGAATTATTTGGTGAAAAGGCAGATTCTGGAAATCGAGCTTTAAACTATATGAATGCTGTAAGAAGGCGAAAAGGTTTATCAGTAGAAGAAAAAATTGTACAATTTGCTGAAAAACAGCGAACGTTATCAAAAAATAAATAAATTTGATTTTTTTATATTGAAATAATAATAAGTATTTCTTTTGTTATCACTGAAAAATATGTCTGTTTTATTTTTTCTTTTCACTTTTTTTAGCAGCTTTCTTTTTCATTAGTTGAACTCGTTTTTCCATAGCTGACATCATGGTACTGGTTGTAGGCGGGTAATGTTTAGGACTACTGTTAGCTGAAGATGACTTTGATTTACTTGGACTTGCTTTTGTACCTTAAATTAATCCAAATATAAATTTAGATACAGTTAGATCAAAGAATACTAAATAGACATACTTTGTAACATTCTGCTAGAAGATTTTTCAGTTTTAACTCCAATTGTATTCTTAGAAGAGCTCTTTTTACTTTCTTTACCTGATGTACGAGTTTCCTAAAAGAAAAAAAATTTTAAAATCAATTTCAATAGTAAGATTCCGATAACCATTAATTATATGTTCAGTGTTACGTTCAGTAATTTGTTTCAGAACATTAAAAAACTTAAGTGATCTAAAATTAATCACCCATTGAATGTTTATGCTATACAACATTGTTTATGAAAACATTACCCTGAACTCAACGTATAAAATTATTCATTCATTGAACATTTAAAAGTATATTATTATTTATTTTAATGTTAAAAATTTTTTGTCCTGAATTGAAGCAAAAAAAAAAATTTATTCATTTAACTTTTGCACATACAATGTTATGGGTTTGTTTGTTCAAATAAAATTATTCTACACAAATTTAATTATTGTTTGAACTTTTACAAGGAGAATATTTTATATACATTAAACTTATTTATTTATATACTGTGCTTGAATTTAACACATTTTCCAAAATGTGTAGCATTGCATTAAATCTTCTCACACAACCCCTCACTGGTATGGCAATTTTGTTTTTAAGGCAGGGTCAGACCGAGCTGAAATACATTTTATTTCTGATCAAGTCTGGTAACTTTTTTGATTTTTTTAATTGGACTAGGCTAGATTTAGTTGGGTCATAGCTCTGGTTTAAATAATTTTTGGGCTAATTTAGGGATCTACTTGAACAAATAATAAAGTGTCATTTATAAGTTTATTGAGTCTTTAATCAATAAAAAAATCATTCTATTACGTTCAGGGTATGTTGTTATAATGTTTTATTAAATTATAACGTTCAAATAAACATATAGTACGTTGAAAAATTATTGATAAGTTTACGTTCAGTTCATAATTAGCTAGTGAACTGGATGTTTTCATTTTAACTGTTTATGTTCATAATGTTACAAAACCCTGATAATAAGCAATAATAAAATTACTGTTTTCTGGGAATCTCTTTGGCGACAGTTTCCACAATACCAAACAATTCGAGGATCATTTAAATTAATATCCGTAATAGGAGGATTGTGACAGTTTTGGTGATACATTGAATGACAATCCAAACATTCAACTAGACTGTTGCCCATGTGTACAAAACTTTCCCTATAAAATAAATAAGCAAACTGCTGTGTGAGTAACTGGATCTTACAACTTTTAAAAGCGCCCATACACAAATAGATTTTTAAAGGATTTGGTCTTCAGTGGATCATCTTAATAAAGTCTGTTCGTTTTGCTTGTCTGTATTTATAAATCCAAAGCCGACTCAAAAATTTTATCCGTTAAAAAATCCGTAAGTGTATGGGGGTGCTAATATGGATTCTGCAAGTCTGTTACCAGTAAACATAATTGGGACAGTTGAAGAGCTAGCTGAGGGGAAGAGATGAATACTGATAACATTAGGAATCCAGCGGCCCATATCATCCAGCAATAAAGGCACTTAATACAATTTTTGTATGTTGCAAAATATATATATATATATATATATCATCATACTTGCAAGCGCAACATGAATATGCTTCAAGATCAGTATCCATGTCCGAATCTGAATCAATATTAATGACTGGATCGGATTTAGCTTGTTCTAATGTTATAGTGGGTGGTGGAGAAGAGCATACTTCAACTATAGTCTTGTTTGTGCTGAGGGCTGGGCTGGAAGAAGAACTAGAGCTACTAGATTCATCTTCAGCAACTACCTAGAAAACCAATATGTTCAAATATTTGATACGATTATAACTTTAAACATTAAGTCATCATATAATTACATCCGATTGGTCAATTCCTAACTCTTTAGTCATTAATGCAGTAGGCACAGATAACTTTTTAGCAACATTGGTTGGTCGTCGGTTTGGTCCATACTGCTCTGCAATGGCTTCTTCAAAATTTTTCCACATTAACTTGATAACACTTACATCTTTGGTGCGTCTTAATAACTTTAAGCCATTTTTAATAAAAGGCTCTAATTCTGTTGTGACTTCCATTATGTTTGATTTTTATGTTGTAAGATCTTACGTAAATACGGACGATTTCAATGGTAGGTACGAAAAATATTTTTTAAATTAGTCATAAAATTCATAAATCTCGAAATAAAATGTGAATAATTTGAATTAAGTCAAAAAGGCATTATATTCAAACAAAATAATATATATAATATACCTAATAATTATTAAAAATAAATCCACAATGGTTTTAGTTTGTTAAAATTTTGAAATATACATGGGCTGAATAGGAAGTGCACTCTCTAGTTTTACCTAATCTGTGGTACTAGAAGAGGTAAAAGCAGAAGGGTCAGTTTCAGAGTAAACAAAAAAGTAACGACCATTTTGCAAAAACTTATTTAGTATTATTTGTTATCATAGACCTATAAGACTTCTTACACACATCTAAAAATAATAATATATAGATATAACATTACAGTGGTGTAAGCCTTGAGAAGATGGCCGTCGCGTTTTTGTGTGATAAGTACATTCACTGTGTTAATTTTTATCAGTGTCCGGGGCATAGAGTAATCATATAAAGATAAAAGATATGAACTAACATATACTAGCATATTTAGCATGTACTATAAGCTATATAGCATATACTTGAATCTAGCATATACTAGATTAAACATACTTAACTAATTATGTATATGTAATCTATCTATGATTGAATATTATATAAACGCGGCTTTTTCATTATGCATTTTAGTATCACAACCATACCTGAGGGCTCAGTTACCAGTTTGCGTTAAAAAAGTTCATCTAACCGATTTAATATAATATATTATGGAGTATGGACAGATATAATGTTTATTAAGCTAAACAGTTTTAAGAAATTTTAAAACGATTTAAATTTAAACATAATTATATAAAAGTACTAATTGATTTATTAATCTATGCCTGTACTGTCAAATATGATTGATGAAAAATTCATTGATCATAGCACACTATCGGTTATATTGATTTCAACTGCGACATAATCTGTATTCTGTATTCATTGTTTGAAGAATTTTCTTAATTAATATTTTTTTTTGTAAAAGAAAATTATTTTGCCAATAGCTTACTTTTTAAGACTGATAATGTAACTCTTTATAAATGTAGGCAAGAAATGCATAATTATTAAATATACTTTATTTTATTACTTAACATATATTATAAAGTAATAAGTTTGAATGACACTGAAATACAAATAAATAGTTGGAATGCACAATACCTACAGTTAAGTGTATTGAAAAGTGTCTGCAGGGTAATGGATACCATTTTGTTTACTGGAGTTTTTTTCCATTACTAATCTATACATTTTTCAATGAAAATTGAACAGATCTATTAATCGTTCAAATAATTGTGATGACAACACATGAATGCTATGACTACAGATAACTGTAGTCTTCATGATACAGTGGGTATATTGAAGCATTCTTTATATTATACAGTCAGTAACATAGAATATATTACTATATTATTTTGTTGTGACAACCCTATAGCCTTAAATAGTAAGACTTTTTACACATGTGTGGACTTCACATCCACTGTAGTAGGTCCCTAGTGGAGGCAACGGTGAAGCGCAAACGGTTGAAGGCACTTGTAATTTTGGAAATTGTAAAACCACAAGAAGTTTTGTATTAAACAGGTCATAGCCAGCCAGCTGCATGACCACGGCACCACTCAGGCCCTACATATTATAAAATGGTTAACAAAATAATAGTAAAATAAGGTAATTATATTATTTTTAATCTAATGCACGTTTCAAAGTTCAGTGTTATCAAGTACATATTTTTGAAAACAACTAAATAAATAAATATTATAATCTTTAATAGTTCCAAAGACAATGCATTTTATAAAAGGAGGATGTTAAATTGGCATTAAAGTATATAAAATAAAATATTATTTAGCCAATTCATTCGACAGCCAATCTAGTCCTTCATACAAGCCATTGCCTTGAGTGGCACATGTTGACTGGATATACCATTTCCTTTGGTGCAATTGATTTAATCCAAGTTTGTTAGTGAGATCCGATACATTCATTGCATTAGGAAGATCTTGTTTATTAGCAAATACTAAAAGCACAGCATCTCTGAGATCGTCCTCTTGTAGCATGTTATGTAGCTCACGTTCTGCTTCAGCTACTCTTTCACGGTCATTAGAATCCACCACAAAAATTAGTCCTTGAGTATTTTGAAAATAATGTCGCCACAATGGTCGAATTTTGTCTTGACCACCTACATCCCAAACTGTAAATGCTATGTTTTTGTATTCAACAGTTTCAACATTGAAACCGATAGTAGGAATAGTTGTTATGATTTCTCCCAGTTTCAGTTTATAAAGAATAGTAGTTTTACCGGCAGCATCTAGACCAACCATCAAAATCCGCATTTGCTTTTTGCCAAATAATCTGGTAAAAACGCTTGACAATGTTAAACCCATTTCGTACTTGTAACTATACACCTATAAAATGAACAATAGTAAATTATTATACAATGTATTAACATACCAACAATTAGTACCGAAGATAACAAAATTGAAAACTATCACCCATTTAATATAAAATATGAAAATCTAAACTAGAAAAAGTAGTTTAGAATCGCAAGTATATATTGTAAATATAATAATTTATTACCTATTAACTAGAAAACCTCGATTGAAGACAAATGTAGCTGATTACGTAGTATACGTAGAAAAATTATCGTTCATAGCACAAGCCACACCACTAACTACTTACTACTTGGTACTATTATTCACAAAACACAATATTATAGCTTATTGCTTACAGCTTAATTATTATTATCATTGTTATTCGGATGTTATCAATAGTGTACGTGTATTATCATAATCGGAATATTACAGCAGTTTTAAAGTTGGGTATTCTGAAATATTATCGATTTTTAAAAAATGTATACTTGGTCCTACTGATAGAAGTTAGCAAGAATTGTAATTCATGATAAGAATACATTGATGAATTTTCCTGCCAATGAAAATAATAAATATAATCATAATAAGTAATACTTATTAGTTATTGTAGGTACTGCAGTGTATAATAGTTAATACCTATATGAAATAATAAATTTTCCAGAAAGCAGTGTGTAAAAATAATCACAAGTCGTATAATGAATTCATACGAATTCAAAATTGACGGCAGTTTTAATTATTAAAACGGGACACTTTATAAAAATTGATATTAATGCATCAAAAATGACCACTTCGTTTCTAGAGAATAAAATTTTGAACCTACAAGCTCGATTGAAGGCGGAGAACGAATCTGTTGAAGAAAATAATATGTTTCCCTCACTCTCTAGCCCTAGACAGGGTTCTGGACGACGACCCAAACAGCGTAAGTAAAATACTAAATAGTCATTGAGCATTTCTTTTGTAGTAAGAAGAGAATAACACCCCTATGACCTTGATATTTGCTTTTAGTTGGTGATATGGGTACACCAACTCGTACTCGAAAGCACATTGATTTACCAGTGAGTGTACTGATGCAACCAAGGGTTGAAGACACTACTGAAGTTGAAGTTAAAATGAAACAAATCATGAAAATGAGCGGACTACTCACAATTAATGAAATTGTATAGAAAAATTAAACTATACCTATCTGCATTTTAGATTTTAAAGTTTGTAATTTATTTTATGTATTTTAGAAATATAAAACTGAATTAAAAGATTTAGAGCATCTTGGAGAGCTAGGAAGTGGTACATGTGGTCATGTAGTAAGGATGTTACATAAACCAAGCAACACAGAAATTGCAGTCAAAGTATGCTTCTTTATATATTTTTATGATTTCTATTAAATCAGATAAAGAAATAAAATGTCTAAGTTAGTGTTATCAAGACATATTTTATAATTAGTCATTAACTTAATATAGCAAATGAGGAGATCTGGAAATAGTGAAGAAAATAAACGGATCACTACTGATCTTGAAGTTGTATTAAAATCACATGACTGTCCATACATTGTCAAATGTTTAGGGGCCTTTATAACCGAATCTGATGTATGTATTTGCATGGAATTAATGGCCACTTGTTTTGATCGCTTATTAAAAAAACTTAAGGCTCCAATTCCTGAAGATGTGCTTGGAAAAGTTGCTCTGAATGTAAGTATACATTTTACATTGATCTAAAATTAAAATTTTATCTTATCATTGTTCATACACTTCTTTAGACTGTGAAAGCATTAAGTTATTTGAAAGAGTCTCATGACGTTATTCACAGAGATGTTAAGCCGTCAAACATTTTACTAGATGAAAAAGGAGATGTAAAGTTGTGCGACTTTGGTATATCAGGTAGATTAGTTGATTCAAAGGCACGTACTAAAAATGCTGGGTGTGCTGCTTATATGGCTGTATGTATTAACAACAATATTTCAAAATATTACTTTGTTTTAATTTTATATCATTGACATTATTTTACTAACTCTAGCCTGAAAGAATTGAACCAAGGCAATTGGATTATGATATACGAGCTGATATTTGGAGTTTAGGTATAACATTAGTTGAACTGGCTACTGGTGTATTTCCTTATCGTGACTGCAAATGTGATTTTGAAGTGTTAAGTAGAGTTCTGAATGATGATCCTCCATCACTTCCTCATGATCAATATTTTACTGTTGAGTTTCGTAATTTTGTGTCTAGTTGGTAAGTTTTATGTACATTTTATTAGAGTAAAATGATAAAAATGTTTAAACATGTGAATAAAGTGTTAAACTTGGTACTAGAGGTATCTGTATCAATTTCTGTACATTACAATACAGATAAAGTAAACCACCTCTCATACAAGCCCTACATACTTATAGGTTTAGTCATATATTTAAATACTCAATAAATTTGTTTATGTGTCCATAAGTATGAGCCCTAACTGTGTTCATATAAATGAAAATTATGCAGATATATCAACGGTGCACTAGTAAAAGGGAATAAGTAAATTTATGGCAAATGGAGTAAGACAACCATTGATACATACGTGATACATACTTTATGTTTCATAATAAAATAGCATATTTATGACTGAAATTAAAAGAGTTATTAATAGTTCTATAAAAGTTTAATACAGAGCCTTTTGAAAAGTAACTACTTCTGACCTTTTTTTTCAAAGAAAAAAAATCACTCGCGCATTGTCAATATTACCGGACGACTAATTTAATGTAAGCCTTCTTGGAGTATGCGTTAGATCAGTAACCAGCTGTAAAAACCCCCAAAAACAGCCAAATCTATAAAACATTTTGAGTCCTAATTGAAGAGATTACATTGATGTTAAATTAAAAAAAAAATTGAAAATAACAGGATATAAACTAACCTTTAAGCACTCTTGAGTATGAAAGTTACATCATTGCTCGTTTGTTTCATTTGTACAGTTATCAATCAATCTTGTGTGGAAAAATTTTTCAATTTTTGTATTGTACTTTTTATAATTAAAAAATACCCAATAGTCCCACCGAGCTGACTATAAGATGTCACATTTTTCTTAAAAAAGGCAGTGTAGTGCTGCCTAAGTGAGTGTTTGAAAGATAACAAAATATTTTCAAAACAGAACTACAAAATTGCAATTATTTTCCTAGTGTCTTATATTAAATTGATCCTTTGTATATTTATTTAAATTTACCATGAAAAAAATAAATATAAACTCATATAAGTATTGGTGAAATTTTCTTTTTTTGACAACTTTATATCAGAGTAATGAGTTACTTTTTGCTTTGAATATTATAATTGGTTAACTGACTGAAATAAGGAAATTTATTTTGTGAAATAATTTTTATAAAAACGTATTTTTAAATCTCGTGTAGTTGTATTTGTAGTAAACTTTTCTGAGTAATTTACATTTTAATTACAGCTTAATCAAAGACTATAAAGTACGACCAAAGTACAAACAGCTATTGGAACACCCTTTTCTACTGCGGTATGTTGATAAGTCTGTAAATGTTGCTGAGTGGTATGCTGAAGCAATAAAACAAAGCAGCACACCAAAGTATGACTCAAATGATATCTATCATATTAATTTTAATCTAAAAATATTTCATGCTTATTTTTAGATCAATGAAATCTATTATAGAAGACGTTCCTACCAGTGTCCACAAGATGTCTGACCACCAACTTCCACAATTGAGTTTAATAGACAAAAACAAAATTAATGGGTTAGTTAAAATATAAACAAATTTCTAGTGCTAAATTAATTTATAATCGTCTGATTTATAGAAATGTGGTACTTGACTCTCCTAGACCAATAAAACGTTTTCCAAGTACTGAGGTACCGCCTTCAGTTTTGCTGTCCCCTTACAAACAACTAACAAATGGCAATAATTCTGTTAATACTAGCCCATTATTGTTGCAGAGATTTTATCATCAACAAAATCAACACCATTCTAGGTATAATATGACATATTTAATATTTATTTACAAAAACATTTTTCTCGCTTTTGGTATTATTTTATAATGGCTTTTGCTGTAATTTGGGGTTGAAAGATATTGTTTTGTTATATGTGTTCAATTAAAAAATTGAAGGAAAAACAAATATTTTTGCTGTTATCAGTTGAACATACCTTATACTTTTTGACCTTAATAAGAAATTATCATTTTATTTTTGTTAGTATGGAGACTGATCTGATCATAGATACATTATATCTATAGATCTAATAGTTCAGTAATCTTTGTTGTTCAGTTCGATTTTGTGAAAGTTATGTGTTCTGCAGCTTTTTTTTTCCTTCTCTTGTGTCTAGATCCATGATATTTCTAAAACTACTGAACCTATCTCTTTATGGATCGGAGAAGGTATTGTTTTTATTATGAATTTTCCAATAGTCGAATCTTAATGTTCAACAGATTATTCACAAATCATAATTAAAACACAATAACATTCAAATGTCACATTTTTTACGGGTAGAATTAGTATTGGTAATGAAATGGTTTCCTTAATTAACTATAATAGCATCATCATCATCATGTAGCTTAACGAGTAATCGCTGCCATCAAAAGATTGTTTCTTGACAAATTCGCTATCCGGGACGGGTCGTCAGTCCGTCGCCAGAAAGGGGAATGGCGGTTTCTTTTTACCGGACGATTGCTCGCCCGGCAAACAGAGCACCCGTGACCGTGTGTCAAACCGGCAACAGTGAGCGTTATCACACTGCCGCCTTACCCACTTGGCCACTCCACCTCAATTATAATAGCAAAATAATATATAATATTTAGTAGGTAAATTATAAATTTATGCTTATATTTTTAAATAAAAAAGTTACATTCTTGTTAGTTTTGTATTTTTTAAATAAATGGAACTTTTTTGTTAAACAATGTTTTAGAGAAAAAGAATCGTGATGGCCTCGAAAATATTCTCCTCTTTAAATTTTGTTGTTTATGTTTAAACTACGGCTGTAGATAAATGGTCGCATATCTGCTTATACTTCGCAAAGTTTGATCGGCGCGGCGGCTACAAGAGTTTTTTCTAAACATATGAAAAAGCGAGTGACTGCCAGCGTACCTCGTGGATAAATGATGGAACTTATTATTTTTCCCTGATGATCCTTGTTATATTCAGTTGCGTTTATGATAACACTAACAGCCGGTTTATTAGTGAAAGATCCACAATTTACAGGATATTCAGTGAAAGATAAAAGTTTCATGATTTATCCACAAGGAGCGCTAGCAGTCACTCACTTTTTCATACTTATTGAAAAAACTCTTGTGGCCGCTTTTTCATAGCTCGGTATGCAACCAGTTACCACTTAACTGTTTTCTACAGCCGTGGTTTAAACTCTAATGTCGACCTAAATGCCACAATTTATAAGTAACGTAATTTTGCTATGATGCCAGTTAGTTACATTGAGATAGTTAATGTGATGTGGCATCCTTTTAATTTAAATACTATAAATATGGAGTAATTAAAAAATAATGTGCCCCTTGAAGTCGTCTAGTGCATCGGTGTAGTCTCTCCCCCAACACAACTACTAACTGAGATAGCTTGTAGAAAAGTATATTTGAGATAAGGGTTTAAATTAAAATAAAATTGATGAAATTGGGTCAAAAGAGTAAATAAAAGATTACTAAAAAAATAATATTTTTACATTTTTTAACTAAATTAAATACCTCAATCAACCCTTTATCTCTCCTTTTTTTTAAATTTGTATAGCTTCTTTAGTTGAATACTGAAAGCAAAAAAAATGTCAAAATTCAGTAAGCCAAATAATTTAGATTTGGTGTAAAATACTCAAAGTTATTAATTATACAATTTTTATTTCCATTTTTAGATCATCTTCAGTGTCTCCTAGTCGTTTTGAACGTAATATTCCTAAAGAATCAAATCCCCCAGATTCACCAAAACCAAGTCCAAGAAAGAGTCTAATATCAGCCTACCTCAAATATGCTCCTTGGAGCAAAACCCCACCTAGTCCTCCACCTCGAAATCAAGGCCTGTCTGCAACTGCATCCCCTTTAATGACAAGACGTGAGATGTGCCCATCTTCTCCAGCTCCAACACGTAAAACATTTGATGCTTCCCCTGCTTTGTCCAGAAGATATGTGTCTCCAGTACCACCAACGCCACCACCTCGTCGTTTGTCTGAAAGTGGATCATCTCCTTTGCATACATTTTACCAACAACGGCTATTTGGTCAGCCAAAATTAGCAGAAAAAGATCATAGGTATACGCCTCAACCAAGACGACGTGTTGTTTGTCAGTTTAATGACATATGACAGTTACTGTGTGGGCAGAGGCGTAAAGAACCTGTCCTTAAAAACAACGAGTAAACAACATAATATAACATTTTTGAATTCTTTGGAGTTTATTTTCGCAATTAAAAAGACAATTTATATAATAAATTATACAAAGCAATGGTAAAATTATAATCGTAAGACAGAAGAAAAACTATTTGTCATAGATAATTTTTTTTTTTTATTCTATGCAAATTTCATAATTATATACGTTTATAGTTGTTCGGTATCAGCTTGAAACAAAAAAACTGTGACAAAACGTAAGTTATACCATATGATAATGTTTGTCATTAAAAAGAAAGAATAATTTAACTGGTAACCAGTTCCTTTTTTGTCTATAACTGGTAATACTACAGGTTTATTGCCTTACTAAATCTTATTATTAAGAAAGTAAGAAGTTATTGAAGTTCATAATAGTTTATTTCAATTTTTCCCTAGATTTAAATGTCTTATTGTTTTGAACAAAATATATTTTACGAGAGTAAAAATCAAAATGTACTATCATTATTTGTTCTGCTACTTACATTTTTTTATAACAAAATATTTGTGTTCTGTTTTTCATTGTTTGCTCAAGTTATTATTATATTATAATTTTTTTTTTGTGACTAGTCATGGTGTCACACCGACACATCTCAGATTATTATTCATAATATTGTATCCTACTGTGATTTTTTGAAATATTTCCTTTTGCTTATAATGTAACATTTTTATAGTTGAAATAAGCTTGTAATATTTCTTTGTAAATGTATATAGATGAATATATTGTAATCATATACAACTTATACATTCTAGTCATCAATATTATTGTTTTAAAATAATATTTTGTACTTGATATTTGTGTATTTATGTTATCCGATCAAAACTTATAACAAATAACAAAATATAATATTTAAATAAATCTATTTTATTCATATTTGGTAAGTCATTTAAACTTTTACAACTGTACAACTGGTGTCTATTTCTCTTGTATAAATCTTTGGTACAGAATCTGAATAACAAGTCCTTGACGCTTAATCATCGCCTGTATCCCAGTTTTCTTAGTGCTTTTAAATCTATATCTCCATAGTAATCTTCACTATAATTTAAAATACATATTAAAATCTAAAATTCATTAATTGAGAGAACCTAAATTAATTTGTAAAATTAGTAAAAATTATTGAGTTAAAAAATTATCAGCTATTATACAATTTTAATATGTTTTAGTTGTAAGTTAAAGTTATGAAAGCTATGTGCTGTCAGTACTCGGTACAAATTATTGTAAATAAAAAACAATAAAACATTATTTATTTTATAAATTATACGAATACAGTAGAACTAAATTTGTTAATAATATTCTCTTTTAAAATTTTTGGTGTACATGCTGTGTGCTCAATTATTTCATGCATATATTTTTTTTAATTCCGCAACCATAAAGTGAAAATTATTATCAGATTCGCTCACAATAATATTTTTTCTTCTAGGTTTAACACTACGATGTATGCTAGTTTCTAATGAAGATGTCGATACTATTTCTTTATTTATTAAGTTGTATTTGGTTAAAATGGATATTAATTTTTTTAATACAAATTTATTGTTTAAAATGCTTAAAATACAATTTTTACGAATTACGCAGTATAAATATTAAATGATGTCCTCCAAAACAATCAAATTTATAATAATTTAACATAGTAGTACACTAGACTACTCGCCGCATACGGTTTAAATAATAAATAGAATTTGTTTTAAAAAAAATCATTCGTTTAATTTACTTCATATTTTAAGTAAAGATGTCTTAGTTATGTAAAATTTGGTTTGTGACAAATAGATAACAGAGTAAGGGTGGGAGTATTTTAATTATTCTAACTTATAAATTAAAATTTAAGACTACTAAAATGTGCCTTTTTAAGAATTAATCCAGAACACCCTCCGGCCTTCCCCCCATGATCTACAAACTCATGATTAATACTGAAACACAAATACATCATATTATAATATGTTTTAAAATTTAAAAAAACGAATAATTAGAATGGTAATATTTCGAAGTTTTAAAATTCCAAATTAGAAGTTTAATTCCAAGTTCCAGCTCTAGTACAAAGTAATACATATGTTTTATTAGGATTAGGATTGATGGATATTAGGTAACTATATCTTTAGCTTTGTTTATTTTATAGTTTTTTATTATTGCTGTATTGTGCTTTAGCATTAATTATGTACTATACATGTACCTATATATGGGTTATGGCGTATTTCAATTACCTATATAGTACAATCATCAAATTTGTATGTGTATTTTATACTTTAGAAAAAATGAGTAAAACAAGTATTTACTTGTTGTAACTTAATAAGTATCTACCTACCTATATGTTTTACCTTGCATCGAATATAGGCAGATTTAATAAATTAAAGACACATTTAGAAATATATATATATATATAAAACTCGACCATTTGATTTGATTGTTACCAAAAACAATGGACAAGAGTTAATTTGCTTGCAAAAGATGAAATCAATGTATGTTTTTTAAACTACCTACCACTTTTGACGTAGGAAATTAAGTGTAGGTAAGTGTAAAAGTAAGGCGTTAAAAAGTATGGACAAATAACTATAACAACTGATTTAATCTAATTAATAATTATTATTTTCATAATCTTAAAAACATAATTATTATAAAGATAGGTACATATAAAATTATTATAGAATAAGTATTTGTACATACATTTTATTTTTAAAAAATTAATTCTCATTTACACAAAATAACTATAGGTATAGTAATATACCAACTATTAATTATGGACGGACGGTTTAGTTTATCATAGATACAACAAAAACTAGGAAGTAGTTATAATATTTAAAAAATGAACACCTAAGAATTTTTTCTTTTTGATTTTGCGCTTGAATGGGAAACAAAAAAATTCAACGTAATAAACAACTCATCGTATAACATGTAAAAGCAAAAATTGAATATGGAATAATTTATATAAATTGGAAATTATAGCTGTGGATATTTGACAGGCACATCGATTGCCATATAATTATTAAAAAGAAAAAAGAGGAAACAAATAAAAATAATAATAATAATAATAAAATGGATTAAATTGTGTGAGCACTAATAATTATGCAATGTTAAACGAAGATTAGTCTAACATTATACGTATGCTGGGAACGTTAAATAATCCCATTAATATATCCCAGTGCTCACTCAATTTAAATTTAAGAAAATACAAAATATAATTAAAAAAAAACTTCTTTAAAGTTTGTTATTAGTCTTGTGTAGTGACCGGGCTACGCGCGGTAGGTAATGTTCAGGCATCTTCGTAGTCTTTGGATCCCTGTGGAATGGCCGGTTGTGGCCTTTGTTGTTGTTGTTGTTGTTGTTGAGCGGCCTGCTGTTGTGGCCTTGGTTGTTGAGTGGCCCTTTGTGGCTGAGATTTGGGAGCCTTAGGCGCTGCTGGTTCGGACGTCTTAGGCTTGGTGTTTTCTAGTCCAGATAACAACTCGCTCTTTCTAATCGCCTTCAGATCCAAGTCTCCGTAGTAATCCTCACTGCACATAGTTTTAGGGTTTTTTTTCATGGTCACTTGTTTTATAATATTATTATACAATACAATATATTATTATTACGTGTAATTTATAATAATGTATTCATATGCCTAGAAATATAGCAGTATACCTTAATGTAGTAGGTTGTACTGTCTTATGAGCTCTTAGGTTAATGCTTTAATTATAGTATATAGTTTACAACACAATTTGATTTGTAAATATCGAATAAGCGAAACGAGACCAATAAAACAAAAATGTCTATTAATATATTCTACTGTGGCGTGTTTACAATTTCCTTCTGGGGGATGATATGCAAAAAGGATATTCCCCCCTGGTTTCCTTTTGTAAATATTGCCCATATGGCCGGACCATAAAAAGGTAATCTTGCTTTATTTTAAAACATACACTGGCAACAGTTAATCTACATTATTCGTTGTTTTCAAATTTCAATGGAAAAAATGCATTTTGTATCAATTTTTAAGTTTGTATATAAAATGAAATGCTAACTAGGTTAAAAAAAATACATAAACATTTACTACGTTGCTATATTTTTGGTTATTAATTAAAGATATAATGCTCTTAATATTTTTATGCATTGTTTTTTTTTGTTTTTCTGACATCTCGTCAAAACTTCTACGTTGACGAGAATATTTTTCTATTTAACAAATTAATTACTGATAATATATTTATAAAAATAAATTCTCTAGGGGGGGTGAATGATATAGATATCACCCTGAATCCTGATCACTTCCTAGTCCCTAATAATACACCACTGATATTATATATCTACATTAATGTTTACAGAAGAGAAGTTAAAGATTAAGCGATATAAAACTACAACCGAATGTTGCAATTGAAATTTCATAATGCTTTTAAATAATTTTAGTTTGTAATAAATTATCATCAAGTCATTAAAAGCATAGAAACGAATTAATATTATTGATAATCTCTTTAGTACATTTTGAAGTAATACTTGCACCGTTTAGTTACAAATAGTCAACTTCCAGGCCAGTGGCATAGCTACCGTGGGTGCAGGGGGCGGCTGCCCCTGAGCGCATTCTTTTTTAGGGAGTTTTATACGGTTTACTATACACGTTAACATGTAATATAGGGCCCAAAAAAATGTCTTACCCCTGAGCGTTTTAGTCTTTAGTTACGCCACTGTTCCAGAACCAGTCTGTCAACCTCACTCTAACTATGAAATTGAAATAATTTAAAAGCAATAATTTTATTAAGAGCTTCACAATTTTAGTAGTTAATTATTCCATCGATTTACGAATATTTTTCTTATATTCATATAGATCTTATCAAATTGTATTTTTTTAACGCAAAATCTAGTTTTCTTTTTTACTTAAAATCGTTTTACATAATTTATTCGGTAGAGCTTTTAGCCTTTCAAACAATATATTTGTAAGTATTGATGTGTACAATAAAAGCATAAAAATAATTAAAATGAAAAATTTTAACGTAGCTGTCAAATTGTCATAATGATTAATTTTAATTTGCCGAAAGTGTTTCAGCTTAAACACATTTTAATTCATTGCCAAAAAAAATATACCATAATATATTATTATTATTATTAACTAAACATTTATACCATAACCTACATGATATACCTATGTAATCTTTTCTTAAAAGCACTTTCACTGTTGTGGTTTTAATTTATTTTTTTTTTGTATTACAGTTCTAATTATTTGAGTAAACACTATAAAATCAGTATATATCATTAGTTATGCTTGGGAATGTTTTGAGGCTATTTTCTGTTCCTTTCTCTCTTTTCAATCGTCTAAACAATCAGCCCGTGACTCGCCGCCTAAACGTTTTTACACTTCAATTATAGTGTCTAATTAGTAATTATTATAGTTATTTATATATAATATAATATAATTATAGTACATCCACAATTTTATTAGAAATTATAAAAATAAAACCGCTTTCGTAAAATAATAAACGCCACTTTCGTGTATGTAACGTTCCGTTTCGATAGTTTTAACCGGATTATATTATTGTGTTTTTAAAAGAGATAGTGATTTTGGTTAAAAGTGCCTGTTGTGTAATATTATGGTAGAAGTTTATTGTTAGGAAAAAAATATGTTTAAAACCTATTGTTCAGCACGTGTATGTAAAATATGCGAGGCCATGTTCACCTTCCCTGTCCCTTTGTAAAATGGACTATATAATAAATATATTATAGTATTTTAAATTTGTAAACATGCAATGTATATGGTGAGCGTTATTAATAGAATTTTCGTTGTTATAGCGTATAATTAAAATGCTATTCATGAAGTATTAGGAATTAGAAAAAGAACAAAATATTGTCGTAAATCCAGCGTAAATTGATAATCCATGCTTACCATCCGGGCACGTCCTCCGGGTTCTCACAATTTCCGCTGCCGTCGGCGTCACCAATTTTAAACACCGTACCGATGGGACATCCGTATTCTCTAGGTGTACCTTCAAGACAGATGTAGTACTTCCTGCAGTCGTCTGGATGCGCGTGTCTGCTAAACGACCCGATAGAAGCTACGACTTCACCAGCGGCGGGACAGTTGAAACCGTTAGCCACTTCTATGCAGGAGAACATAAAAACGATTTTAAAATGTCCCATGGAAATTCAATATAAAAAAAATCAAAGAATTTATACCTTCGACCTTGCACTCGGGCACTTGGTCAGCCCACATGCACACCCTGGATTCGCGATCGTAAGCTAATCCAGGAGAACACTGGTACCTACTGGCTTCGCCTCCCCAACAGTTCCAGAAGGTATCGCACTTGACGTCATCTGGGAAGATTCCGTACAGTCTGGGACAGTGGGGCGTGCTGATGGCCGGTTCTATTTATGCATATTAAAAAAAAAACTTCAGTGAAAAAAATCGTGCAGATAGACACAATTATTAGAGTAGGTATAGTGTATACACATCCCAGTAGTCGCGCAACGACCAGGAGGAGACCGTGTAAACTACTTTTCTGTATTGTATATTAACATACCCAATTGCGTTCGGGCACCACAGTCCACGTTGTGCAAGTAGTCGCAGTTCTCTTTCAAGTATTTGGGGTCGGTGTCGTCGAACGCCAATCCGTTGCCGCAAGTCTTCAGCTCGGCAACGTTGTTGTCGCACTTCCAGTACTTGTCGCATGATGTGGTGTGCGGGTAAAACCCGTACTCGTCCGGACACTTGAACTCTTCCCTCTGGCCGTGAACTACAACGAAAAGGACATTGTTATATTATTATTATTACTATATTGTTAGAATCGGTCAATTTTATTTTCCCAGGACCTTGGAGTGCCCCATTGTGCATGCCGATTATCTTATGCAACGGTATTCATAATAATACATATATGGATACACTTGTATACATCATGTGATAGCGGCGGTTGCGTTGTGTAATTATTATTATTGTTGTATTATTATTGTAATATAATTGTACTGAGATCATTGCTGCGTCCCCCGCCGGCGGGTGGGTACGCTGTGTGGTTATCTATAGATTTTTATATTTATGACCTTTAGTCGCTCGTGGTAATACATTTGCTGGTATATAATACTGCAGCTTTTTTTTGCTACGTAATAATCCAACTATGTAACAATACACAAGATCTATATGTACACTAGTAGGTACAACGAGATTTTACACCAAGTAAAAATTGAAATCATTGATCAGCGCTGATCACCCACATAAGATTAGTTGTGATCAAAAGGCAAACACCCATATTCGAGTAGTATTTAGGATGAGCATAGGCGCAAATCCTACAGTTAGGTTACTTCAAATGTAATAGTTTACAGTTAATATTGTCTATTATATAATATAATAAATATAACATATTATTGTTTTTTATTTACATACAATACTGTTGTAGGCCACACCGAGGACGTGATACTGCTAGATCAACTGAGCACAAATGTATATCATCTGCTACAGATATTTGTGAATTTTTGTACATAGTGCGTACAATTATTCTTTTACTAGTGCAAAAGGCGAGATTTTTTTTGATTTCTCTATAAAACATTATTACTTTTAAAATTTCTTCTCATCCGTTTCATCCCATATAAATACGGCGACTAGTCGAATTTTTTCTCCATATATTTATACCAATCGTTTTTTTATTCACTTCATACATTTTTACTTATTTATAACCTCCTCTACAACTCCTCGACTACTCTCTCTAGTCTCTAATTATAAATCTCTAATTTAATTAGAGGCCTTAGCCGTTATAATGTTTAATTTTCCCCTATTCCAATTTACCTATATATTATTAAAGAATAAAGATAATAAAATATACTTATAAACAACATATACAATTTATATTGATTTTCATTGAATAGTTTATTTATAACAACATGTTAAATGTGATCGGTATTTGGTATCCAAATAAAAATAATTCATTCCTTAAGTACCTACTCCAAAGTTTAAGGCGAATTTATGCACTTGGTAAGGTATGCTAGATGCTGTCTCACCAAACATACCCGAACAGTTATTTAAATGAGTATTCGATGTATTGACTATTGCGAATAATTTGTTTGTTAACCAGGTAAGATGAGGACTGTTTTCTAAATAATTAAAATAATTAACCAATTTTAATAGAATTAATTGTCACGGGTTGTCGACATTCTAAAATGTAAATGCCGTCGATTGAACGGGTAATGTTAACGGGTCGTGTGCGATCGGGTTAAAATTGAGCTATATAGTAGGCGACATCTAACGACCGTGTTTATCCTAGTCAAAATCGGGTCATCGTCTAGAGAGATAAAAATAAAAGTGTCCTCGTACGGTATGCGTTAAGACGCATTACAATTTTGTTTTCAAAACAGCCACCGGCGGGTGTTACGCGAGGGAAACCTGTAATGGGTCGGCTATGACCAGGTCACCGACAGCTACGATCGCGATGGTTCAAACTTGTCATCGCTGTTATGTTATTAGTAATAATATAGTATATAATGTTATTTTATTGCTGATCGGTTTGCATGTAAAACACGCGCGTAACACCCAAAAAGGTCGAATCTTGAACCGAAATCGCGATAATAATAATTAATTAGATAGTCGTCCATATAGATATGTTTGTATAGCCATTAAGTTTCTGAGACGGACCGGTGTAATAATAAAATAAAATATAATAGTTTAATATCATATTATTATATTATAAAATAAAATGTAATTTCTCTGTGTCGCAACCGGTCGTCACCGTCATCCCGTGCGTGCGTGTCATCAGCTGTACGTACATATCAGTGTTGTGCATACACTTACATCGAAGCTATTACGTAACGACCACCGCCGTTGCTCTAATCTCGGTATGGTGTAGCGTCTTGTTGGTTCGATCATATTAAAATGACCACAACGTTTGGCGTTGACGGATGGACAAAGCACAGAGAACTATTAAAAAAAACCGGACTGGCGACCAAGCCCAATCGACATTACCGGGCGATGACGGTAGAAAGCGAACTCGTTTTATTATAGGTTATATGGGTGCGAAACAATCTCGTTACACCGCATTCTTTGGCGTTAAGTAGGTAAAATATATAAAATAATAATAAACGTTATTACCGCCCGCGCGTTATCAAAACGTTCCTGTTCGTCATCGTCAGCCGTCAGGGTATAATAATATGTACCTGTATTCAAGTGTGTGAAAAAAACGTTGCCGGAAAGCCTTGGGTCGTAGGGGTTGGTCACGTTTTACGGGATCGTCATGGATGAAATTCATTTGGTTCTCGCTGGCCAAAGAAATCCATTATTCATTTCGTGGCACCTATACGAGATCACGAATCGTCGGCGGTCGTCGCCGCCGGCTGAGGTGAGTGGCCGTCGCTGCCGCAGTTATTATATATTATATTACATACGATATAAACACGCTCGGGGAGAGGTGAAAAAAGGGCTCGGCATTACGTCTGACTTATAAAGTCACCTCCAACTGTTACGTAATCGACAATCAATGTCTTCCGGTTCGCAAATCGGGTCCACGCTGCACACGCATATGGTACCTACTACGCACTTAGCACAGCATAAATACTATTCCAGATGTTTCTTTCTAACTCGAAGGTTATATGGGTGCCTAATTATTGTTGTATTATGTTGTTACCGTGTGGGCTATTTAATTTATTTATATATTTTCACTCTCGTTGGCCACACCCTGTGGGGCTCATTCTCAGATTCTCTTTTTCTCTTTCTTTTACACCTAATGGCATATCTCTCCCGTTTATAATAATATGTTCATAGCGTTGTGAACGGGTACTCCGAAGAAACTAGCGCGTCTGCGGTTTGGGTTTACTGGCGTTATTGCCGTGGAATTATAGATTGCAATGTTGTTGATTAAGTAGTGTTTATTATATTGTATATATAAAGACCATAGAATGGATGCGTACAACCAGCTTACGCGATTTGGCACCGGGAGATGAGCTACAACGTAATCGTTTACCCTAATATTAAGTTATGCTTGTACATTAAAATTTACGTGCGTTTTAGCTAGACGTCGAGTGAAAAACCAATTTGTCTTAAAAACGAATTTCCTTATAGAACCTACCCGGCCGAATGAAATTTCACTTTTCTTAACGCGGTATAGTGAATACAGGACATAAGGACGTGCCGAGCGGTCACAATAGAGCCGGACAATTTTTTTTCGCTTCCCGCGATAACAATCCTACATTATTGCTCTACCAAACACTACACATATTATATTTACGCGTCTATGATGTAACATACAGAGCAGTTTTTTGGACAACGGAAATATAACGACAAGTGACAAGCCGTTACATAAACTGAAATTATAAACTCGATCGTACCGACGGAAAGATACTTATATTGTATCATTAAATTTGATTTTCTTAGGTATTTACTATAGACGTGGGTATATCGTCATTCCTATTAAACTATGGTAATAATATAATATAATACCTGTATGGCATTACGAATATGTTTAATATATACGCTAAAATGTACTAGACTATATTAAATTAAAGAAGTAATAAAAGAAACAGTCCCCAGATTTATAACAACAAAAAACGATAAATATTATAATATATTTTTAATTGGTAAGTAAATCGTCCGTTTACATTTACTAGGTATTACATTTACTTTACATAAGTTTAAATTTTATCCAAAACAAATTGTATTAGCAGATACAGAGTGTATATTTACAATCATACACGAATTGATTTAGAATTGTTTACCTTGGTATGTGAGCAGGAAAATCGAAGCGATTAGATAAATCATTTTTCTAATTTGTAATTACTTGTACACTGAAAGTGTTATAGATATTATATACTCAAACACTAAAAAAAAACGTTAATTTTGAATTCAATCTCGATGTGTACAATAATCGAATTCACTTTCGCGGCGATAATGATGATATTTTGATCGGCACTGGTGAGCGGCCGGTGCTTGCTTCTTGTTTTATATACACGTCCTACCCAAGCGGCCTCAGCCCCACTTGAGTATTCCAGTCGTGTGATGTTTGAAATCCAAAATGAAAAAAATACACACGCACATATCCACACTAATCGTATTGTCATACGTGATTTTTTTCGATCTGGACTACGCCCAATCAAACCGAAAGCTTTACGCCAGACTGCACTACTGTGCCCATGCTCACGATTCTGTACACAATATCTGTAAAACTATACAGTTATACACGTATGCATAGCGTTCTAAAGGATTTCGAAAAAGCGCGTACCAAAAATAACAATATAGAGCAGACGGTAGGCTGTCGGCAGGGTGTCGTTGAATGGGGCGTTTTCGCCGCGTCCTTGACGGTTTAACAAAAGACATTTTATTATTATTATTAATACTATTATTACTATTATTTTATTATTATTGTCACTACTATTATTGATTATTATTATTATATATATATTTTTCATAATCGACGAAGAAGTCAGGGAACGAGTTGTGATCATCCGTCCTCGAGCTGTAGTTCGCCGAGTAGAATAACGATGATGTATTCACCTGAACATTGGCTGTGTACAGTTTTCTTTTTTTTTTTTTAATACATTTAAACGTTGCCCAAAATTAGTAGATATATAATTCGTACAAGGCTGAACGGTCCGAAATCGGCATCCTTGATTCCGCTATAGTAGCGCCAATAGATGCATGTATACGGTGTCATCGTGGAAACACTCAGTGTAACGTTAATTGGTGGTGTTTTGAAAATTAATACGCGTCAATGACTAACAAGTAATAACTAACTATAACGATGATACAAAGTAATGATTAATGAATTTTGTTACTTTTATAAAACCATTAAATTGCTCCATTTCTATAATGAATAAATTATGCAACCAATAGACATAAATAAATAAAAAATGATCTGATGGTAGAGGCGGATTTCGCTCTTTTACGGCTATAGACACTATTAATTTGTCACCCTTATTATAATAACCTCTCTAAAATATTAGCTTACCATTTAATTTACAGTTCCATTTTAGGTGAGAACAGTAATATTTTTTTAATCAAAACAAAGTACACATATTAACAGGAGTGTATAGCAAAGTAATTTTAAAAGTAGAGTGATTCATTTGGGTGTTAAAAAAACAAAAAAAAATAATGAATTTTGTAAATTTTAATGAAATATATAAAAAAGCACTCCAAAATTGCCGCCCCCTGAATTCTAGGGCTCTAAGAAGCTGCCTACTCTGTCGATTGGGAAATACGCCTCTGCCTGAGAGTGCAACCCTCTACATCATCATATTAATAAAACAAAGTGTTTCAGTAAGCAACACTGATCATGGTTCAAACGGGCGACACCTTTTTTGGCCAAAACTGATAACAACGAAAAGGGAAACAGTTCATAATAGCTGATGTATACATATAATAATTTATGCAGCTGAATAAATACACCTCGTTATTATAACTTATGTAATTATTCTATACCCCAATTTAACCTTGGGTAATATCCCTAAGTATAGATAGTACATTAAAAGCAGTCTCAGAATATATTCAATTTAAACTATGCTATAGTACTTAAGTATATATATTACTGTATATCACTGAACTCAATATATAGAACGCGTATTCAGATTGAAAAATGACCCCACCTAGGAGGCAGCCATTTTGTGTACATTTTTATAGAAAGTAAAACTATACGTCATTTTTCCATGATATGTCTTAAAATGTTAGGTTAGGTGATGATAATTTTATCTATTCTGTGATAACACCGTCATATATATACATAGATATATATAATAAACTAGATTGCCAACTGTACATGCCACCAATAGAGAAGATTGAAGCAGCCACTTTCCGTCATTTCGGTGGGAATTAGAACCTTATCACGCGAGAATAATATATGTTTATAACAATCACATATGTGTATAATATTGATATAATATTGTATACAGATATATATATATATATGCATTGATAACACACATAAATCCCACCAGAATGGCGAACCGTCGGCTTCAATTCTTATCGCTAGTTAGCAATCTAGTTTATTATATATATCTGTGTATATATATATATATATATGATAAATCATAGAAAAAACAATAAAAGTACAGAAAATGGTAGCCTTCTACCCGGGGACATTTTCATAAGCAGCCAACTATAGGAAATACGCGTTCCATATATTGAGTTCAGTGCTGTATATGTATACACAATGGTAAAATATATAAATAGGTAGGTATATACAACTTTTTTAAATAATCTAAGTAATAATATATTGTATAATACACTCAATTAAACCCGATAGCTAATAGTTTTTCACTGGTCAATTGACAACGATATTTCTGAAGTGCATTAAAAGCTTATCGATTTATGTGCATGCCAAAAGTGGGAATTATAGTTTATATCACAAGTACAACCTTATGCTACGTTTCTTAGTAAATTATGAATAAATTGTATTGATGATTCTTTCTACATACGAGTAGTCTTATTTAATATACTTAGTTTTATGTAATATGAAAAACTAAAATCTTCATTTTACTTTTCTGATAATTTGTGTTTATTAATTAAAAGTCAATATTTGCAAAAGCAGCTTATCGCAAAGGCAACCGACGTTACCGCACGGCAGTGACATAAAGAGCGATTATCGACGAGAATATTGAGAATAGGTTAAATAACAAATTAGGAAATAGAATATTCACTTGGATTTATTATATTTTTCTTTTAGTGTAAATGAATATGGACAAAATCTATGCTGAACTATGCACTAAGGTTTATTTTGCTCGAATAGGTTTTCGCCTGTTCAAACGAAGGTTTGGTGTAAATTTAGAGTAGCTAAGTCCTCCTTATTGTCTTCTCCTTCTCTTTTATATTTGTGATATGGTGAATTATATTATTCGGTATACCACGTGAAAGACCACAAGGAAGTGATAAAATTATCATAGGGGAATTTCTGTTGCTAGAGGTGTAGCGTTCAGCGGCTGGTGAAAGCATAAATAGTGAAAGTGATCGATCTGGTAGCAGAGTACTTTACTGGTAACATATGCATTTGAATTTTGGGACCACAAACGTCATATATATATATATATTAAGTACTTATGATTAATGTGCCTGTAAAATGTATCTGATTTTTTTGTAGCATTCGACAGATAGGCTTGATCCATGGAAGGTCATCATCTACACACCAACAATGATCTGGGTGTGATTCTGTTTATAATTGTTATGGTTTCATCTTTGAATTTTAACCGGATACCCGTCCAATGATATCCTAAAAAACTTTCTACGTCAAATTCTTAATACCTATCACAGCCGGTCATACGACGATTAACCAAACGACCAGTTATGTATAATAAAGCTGCTGTATAACTGGTAGCTTAATAGTAATATTTCATTTGTTTTGAGTAAGTATCAATCAAAACACTGTACTTCCCTATTAGTTATTTATCAATCGTTCAGTGACACTACGCTGAATGCTTGGTAATAACTAATAAGTAATAACATTCTTTAAAAATCACATTAACGGATAACCGCATTAAGGACACAATAATTATTTTTTCGTAGTACTTGTATAGGTAGGTACATGTGTACTTAATATTAAAGTGGCCAAACTTTTAAGACCATGTTTAACTGTAAACTTTTTCTTAAAAATGTAAGTTTAGTATAAACTAGTTTAAATTAAGTCATTAAACATTATCGCAAAAATGGTGGTTTTGCAAATTAACTACGACAACCTTGTAAAATTTTAGTGCGCTAAAATTCAAATTTTGTTTTTTCAGTAGGTAAACAAAAAAAGGAAGTCAAGTATAAAAAAAATGGTATTTTAAACTAATCGGTAAAGGTGCATAAAGTCGTTCGTTATATTATCTTCGAGCTCTACTCGAAATCGTCAAGTAATATCACTCAAAAGTCGTAATAGTTACGTGTCAATTCTCATTATGGCATGTCATCTCAAAATTCTTATAGCGATAGAAAAATAACGGTTAAACAATAACGCATAAAATGTATAAAACAATACATTTTTAATAATACTTGGCTAATAAACGGGAAGCATTGGTGATTGTAAATTCTCATAGTGCACACTGCTCTGTATGCAGGTGGATGTTGTAATTCGTAAAATTAATTGATTAAGAAGGGTGGGGGGATTTGTGTTATGCGCAAACCGTTAGTTTGAATTACTCTTCTACACTTTTGTTGTTACTGATTGAATATTATCTTTATGTAGGTGACCACTTGTAGTATTTCAATGGCATAATATTTTAATGGAATTAAATAAAACTGGTTTATTCCAGGTTACGTGTGACCCGTAACTATTTAGAAACGCGGTATCGGTTTTAATTCTAGAGAGGGAAAAATCAGATTACTGTATACAGGAAGTATTTATACAGCAATTAATATAATATTTTTTTCTGGGACATCCACTTCAATAGGTAAATGGTTTTCGGCACATATTTCTGTTTGATTATAATTTTACTTGTATATTTTATTATTTAACCTACGAGTATATCTACCTACAAACGTGATATTACTACAGGCGATTATTCGACACGAGTCAATGGATATTTTTAAAGTGTTATATAATTAAGGTAATTACCATATTTATCGGTACTCGTAGCCTCAGCCTCTCACTCCAGACGAAATTTGTTAAAACGTAAAACTATTTTGTAGCTCGATGGTCGCAATATTACATACCAGGAACAAGTTTGGCCTTGTACTTTAAAAAGAAGAGACGTAATTGTAGCAATCTTAAGGCGCAGCTGCGAGCAACGACTGTGATAAATAATTAACGTATATCTTAAGAAAAATACATACCAAATATGAACCAATAGTTAATGAAAATAATATATTATTAATTTCGCTATTATAATAACAGAATAAATTAATATTTCATAACTCGCAGTAATTTACGTTAAGCGTTTTAAATTAATACACTACAATAAATTAATTGATTAAGTAGGTAGGCAATGCACGAATATTTTAAACAGTATAACAATTTTTAAATACGTTATAATGATAGTGTGATAATTTATTAAAGTCGTTAAATAATTTGTTATAAATCTAATGTTATTATGGTTGAGTTCTGGTGTATGGAAGTATGTGTTGTTAAAATGCTAATTAGTGTTTACGTATTAAATTCATCAGTTATACAATAAATATAGTGGATTACATTGTAATATCAATTACGTTATAAATTGCATATTGAATATTTGAGATCCTATGTATAGTTGATGTATACATGTTTAAGATCCTATCTATAGTTTGTAAATTTCACATTGAAGCTTATATACCTATTTCCTAAAGGTGAAAGAATTCTAGTTGAAAATTGTGTTCAATACTTTTAATGGTAGTAACATTAATTACTCACCAAGGAGATGTTTCATATTATGTTCAACGAAAGTGAAATATTGACTGTATACGCTGCGCCACTGCAATTACTATAATAACGAAAGAACAATTGAATTACAAATTGTATAAATAAAACTGTATCTAGGTATATTGAGTTGCTTTAGTGTATCTTAGTTGCAGCAAGTATATTATATAGCTACCGTATCAATTACTTTATTGCACTTTAATATCAGAATAGGGACGGCCGACGGGTTTCCATCACAGTTATTATTTAATATTCAAAACTCGTTTTCATGATACCCATATTCGTAAGAATTATATTTCATTATAAAATAAAAACAGTAATGGTTACGACAATATTTGTCGACGATGATGTAAAAAAGTACACGTACGTTCATTTTTCAAATACAAATTTGATAAAATTATAGTTTTTAAAAATGAATATGTTGGCACTGCGTGAGGGCGGATTTAGGACTTAAATTATATTTGAATACCTACTTTTTGTGTGGGCCATAACCTATTTAAGAAATAATTATTTCCTTATAAGTAAAATATACTTATAAAACGAGTATTGTAGTTTTTATCTAAAATAACTCGGTCATTTGTATGAAGACTGATCAATGCTTCGGAATGTGAAAGTGAATGACATATTGACATTTGATGACAACATAGACATTAGGCATTTGTAGTACTTAAATGGAGGTCGAATTTTTTTTAAACATTTTACTGTAACTATTAATTGTTAAATAACTATACGTTAAGAATGTTCTTAATAATACGGACAAAACGATTTACAAATTAATTAGAACGACAAATACGTGTCGACTGTTGGGTAATATAGGAATATGTTTTTTGGAAAAAAAACTCTTTAAAATATTGAAATGTAGACAATTTAATAAAGGTCCTTATACCAAAAACATACATTTTTTTTCTTAAATATGTTTCCGACCCTGATCGATGATTTGGCCTCTCCTGCGATTTGGATTGTCGGTCCCTTATCCATTTTCGCCTCTCATTTGGTGAACTATTAACGCAACACACTCATTTTCTATAATAATAATAATTTACATTTTATAGTTTTTTTTTGAAAATATTTGTTTATACTATTCAACATAACATATCAAAAATAATTACTTTAAGAATAATTTGGTAAAATTTTTGACTGGAGGTGGAGAGAGTGAGTAATGCATGCATAATGCACAATAATACTACACTTCGCTCTTCCACCCGCCTCCCGTATAAAATGTTAAACGTTAATAATTTAAAAAATATAATTATTCAACTGATAACTTGACATTTTCAGTAAATTATTCTTGATTTAAAATGTTAATATTTATGTTACCTTTTAAGTTTCAAAAGTAGAAAGAGCTCTTGAAAAAAAGTTAAATGTTTAATAATTTTATAATATTGTAAAATAATATAAACATGAATTTTCTCAAAAATAAATAGATCACCCTGTAAGTAACATCATGCTCGTTAATTATAAGGTATAGAGAATAGGAATATTAGATATAGAATTGATAAAAAATTAAATTGTTAATTATTATAAATATTTTATTTTGTTCTGACTATACGTCATGTTGTTTATAGAAGTATACGAAAGAATACATAAATAATATACTGCATCTATATGACGATTTATGTGTATAAGTTTTGTTTTCAAACACAAATTTGAATTTATATAGTAGGTTAGTGTTTACATTTATTTTACAAAAGGTCAACATGTATGTTGTTGTCCTTGATGATGTACTAACTCTTGTTTAGAAGACTATTCATATTTAATATGTGTACTACAGTTCCAGTAAAAAATTTAAAACTAATAATTTTAAAATTATATTTTCGTTAAACCCAATATTACTTCTTGTAATTTTTAGTGCGATATTATGTATAATATTTTTATTTAATTTTCTCTGCATGTTGATTAATATTTTTTAAATCTAAATCGTTTTTTTACTTACAAGCAGGGGCCAGAACAGGTTCTTAAGTTCTTTTTATTATGATTATGCAATTTGTTTATATTTTATTAAAAATTCAACCTGTTGATATATTGAGTACTCTGCCAGGAGACATAATACAGAACAGTTATATGGATCTGTCTAACTAAAAAAATATTACTACGGTTCGCTTTCAATGATAGGCCTAAAGGGCGCTGGGGGTGTTCAATGTTAAATTAAAAAATAAATCCCTTTCTATTGGGTTAAACAAATTACTTATAAAACAAATATATATAATGCTAGGCTTTAAATTTTTTCATAATTATGAATCCTAGTTACGCCTAATATTTTATATACGAATATATAGTTTATCACATTTTTGTAATAACTAAAAATATTTTTAATATTTAAAAAAAAGTCAGTTTTATTTATATCATCATATAATTTATCTTAAAATAATTGTATTGTATTAGCACCTAATCTATTTAAGTTTGGTTATAGGTTCAAATGCAGTTCGTTGCTAGTATTGCACATTGATTCATTTTATACATTAATTATTATACCATTTTTAACGATTTATCAGTATTAGGTATTATAGCTGTAAAGGTATTATGGAAATAGACCAACAGTGAGCACAGAGATAACAAAACGATATGGACGCGTTATTCGACTCTCGTGTAGTATTATTAAAATTTAAATAACTATTTCGTTTAGGTACTAAACTCAATAGGTACTAAAATATGACGTTTAAAGTACAGTGTACACACTACACCACCTGTAATACCTACACAGGTATAACTGTTATCTTATATTGGAGCGGAAGCATTTGCGATTAAAGTATTGTATTATTGACCTTGAGTTCAGCTGATTATCATAAGAACACTTCGTACCTGTTCGGTAGACGTTTGCAATCAGTTATCAATCGGTTGTCGGCTATGTCCGTAAGCATGGTTGCCGCTCTGTTAGTGAGGCGAATAAAAACGTGTAAATCGTTCGCTCGTGTGTTGCGCGCTGATCGGAAAATACTGCCTGGGTTTAATAACAATGTGTGTTACGGATATGGGGCCGCGTTCGGCTACTGCACTTGCAAAACTGTGGTGCCTTTTTTATTGGCCGACATAGGCGAGGGTATACGCGAAGTCACCATCAAGGAATGGCACATAACCGTTGGCGATCGGATTGCCGAGTTCGACGACGTTTGCGAGGTGGAAAGTGATAAAGCCACCGTGACCATAACCAGTCGTTACGCGGGTTCGGTGAGAAAAATGTACTACGAGGTAGGCGATTTGGCTAAAGTGGGTGACCCTTTGATCGATATCGAATTGGAAACGGACGACATCGGCGATGCCGCTGCGAAACCTAAATGCGAACCGATTGTAGCAGATCACGAATCGTTGGTAATGACCATCACGGCAGAGTCAGAACGATCAGTGAAGATCAGCGCGGCAAAAACGGAAAGTTCAACGCGCTTACCGGTCACTGCAGTCCAAGACGCTCACTTCAACAAGGTGCTGACTACTCCTGCGGTACGTAGAATAGCCACGGAAAAGGGTATAGACCTGAGTACGGTAAGAGGAACTGGTAAAGACGGTCGCGTGCTTAAAGAAGACCTACTAAACTTCGGCGATAATATAGTATCCGTGACCGGTTATACGAAGGCGATGCGTCACTCGATGGAAGTATCGCACACGATCCCTACATTGGTCATAACCGACGAGGTGGACCTGACAGGACTGACGCAGGTCAAGACGCAACTATTGCCTCACGCTAAGATAACGCTTTTGCCTTTTTTTATCAAAGCCACTTCGCTTGCTTTGTCCCTACATCCTTTCATGAACTGCACACCGAACGTTGACTTTACAAAGTTACGATTGAACACTGTACACAACATCGGAGTGGCCATCGACACCCCGTTAGGTTTGGCCGTCCCTAACGTTAAAAACGTACAAACTCTGTCGGTCATCGAAATCAGCGAGCAACTGCAAGAGTTAAGAGCCAAGGCCGGGGATAACAAACTGAGCCCGGCGGATGTAACGGGAGGAACATTTACTCTATCAAACATGGGAGCCATCGCAGGGTCCTCGTTTAAGCCGTTGATCATGCCACCGGAAGTAGCGTTGGGCGCGCTTGGCAGACTAAAGTACAGGCCTAGATACAACGAAAAAGAAGAACTAGTCAGAACACCGGTGATAAACGTATCTTTGGCGGCTGATCACAGGATTTTAGATGGTGCTACCGTAGGTAGGTTTTTAAAAGACTGGAAGACATACGTGGAAAATCCCGCATTAATTTTGGCGAACACTAAATTGTCGAAATTCTAAATAATATGGTGTTAAACAAGTAGTGTGTAAATTGTATTATATTATGTACATTGTGTGAAAACTTATGACTTGCGCAGCAACCATGTAATATATAGCCATAATCTAAGGTTCAAATAATCTAGGTTCCTTAAGTAAAAATAATTATTAACTCTAACAATTTAGTATAATAAACGATTATTATGTTAAATAACGTGGTATTATTATGTTAACACTTAAAGTCCTACACGAATCGTTTAACTATATAATTTATGATAAAATATGTACGATATTAAATTTGATTAAAATAGGTAACAGTTGAAATTACACGTTCCTAAAATAATCGTGTTTTACCTGTATAGGTAATTAATATTTTACAGTCTAATATAAATATTTCACACTACGATATTATTATAGTATAATAATATTACTATAACAACTCACAATATTATTATAATTTATAGGTACACATTGAATCTTTTAATAAATTAAGGTGAATTTGGGACTTTATATTATTTTGAATAAGTTCTCATTGTTTATTTAAGAAAAAAATATGACACTTATAAAAATATATTTTAAAAACTTAGTTTTAACGTGTATGCAAATTGATGTACATAATAAATAAAAAAGGTGATAATATATTATCTTTCACAAATAGAACATAGAAACATATTTATATTAGACAACATTTTTATGTAGGTTGAGCATTTAAAAATAATTTTCTCGCGGGCTTTTTGAAAACGACTGTTTTGGTATAGCCTATCAATGTCATATTTTACAAAATATCATAAGTGTATTTTTTACTATATTACAGGATCGACTCGACGTTAATATGTAGTATGTATAATGTAGTATCTATACTTTACAAGTTATTAACGAACTTAACATGACTTTTAAAAACAATTTAAACTAAATCTTTGACGTCCAATACTTATGCATACTATGGAAAATGCTTTTAGGTTTCTTTTGCTATATATAATTGAATTTCTTGATATAATATAATATCGGGTTTTGGGATTTGGGTATATTTATTGCGTCTTTCATCCATGGTACTAATTTCACATGCAGATCAACTTGAAAGTATCCAGTTTCTGAAGTGTTCTTAGTAAATTATTTTTTTCAGTAATAAAATAGTATATATTATTTTCATAATATAGTTTTTTATGGTCGATCAAATGAACACCGACTCAAGATAAAAAATCCATCAGATTTGTGCCTCTTTCCTAAGTTGGGAAAATTGAGTTAGGTGGTAGGTATTAGAACTCTCATAACGATATAATATTTTAAAATCTAGTTTAGTAGGTTTTTTACTTTAATACTTGTTCACTCTATGTATATAATATGTATGCAATATATATACAGGGTGTAATGTAAAGTTTTACAGAGCTTCAAATGAGACAATCAGGATGCTTTATAAGTACAATAAATGGTATTAATTTTTTTTTAATATTTTAATTATTTAAAATAGAACTTTTACTCACTAAAAAATTGTCTGACGAAAAAAATAATTTCAGATTTGAAATCAGGAGAAAAAATATTTTTGAATTGATATGTAACATGATTTTTTGGTATCTGGTCACACTTGCGTCCACCGAGTGGCCACTCAGTGTCCGGCATGTGACCAAAACAAATATATTATAGCATGTGACACATCATTTTGAGTTAGAATATTTGTCTCAATTCAGTGGTGTCCTAAGAATTATTTTATATTATCCCTTTCGTTACTGATATCCTCGTACGAGGATTAAACTTTGAAAATCTAATAAAATATTAACAACGTACTATCATTATCAAAAATGTCTTTAAACACAAGTTCTAGTACAGATTAATGATAAAAAAATCGACACAGCTATATTGATAATCAATATCAGGGTTAAATAATGAGTTGCATGCCATATGTTGGTTTTAGTCACATGCCGGCCACTCAGTGGCCATACTGTGAACGTATACGTGGCAAGATACTAAAAAATCATGTTACATATCAATTCAACAAGATCTTTTCTCCTGATTTCAAATCTGAAATTATATTTTTCGTAAGACAATTTTTTAATGAAATACGAGTTATATTTTAAATAATTTGAAATTAAAAAAAAAATACCATTTATTGTACTCATGAAGTATCCGGAATGTCTCATTTGAAGCTCGGTAGAACTTTACATTACACTCTGTATATACAACAATTTTGTATTTATATCAAAATGTTGTAAATTTCAAATAGAAGGTGTGTCTTAAAGTAAGGAATGGTCAATAACAATCGTTTTGTATATAACTACAAACCTACTGTTGGAGTTATAGTCACGATTTGGAATTATTAAGTGTAGGCGGAAAGAGGTGCAGCGAATAATTATTTTTATTTGTCACTCTATTCTACCACACTTTCCGCCAACTCATTTAAATGTCAATAACTATTTATAACTATTTACTCTAAGCTTGGTATCAACCAGTAAATATTTTCAGAAAAATGTGAGCATGTTGTTATATGTATAATTAATATAAAAATAATCTATTAAATTGTTGGTAAGCAAAAGTGAGTTGGAACTTTTTGTTACGGGTGTTGAATTGTCTTAGTAGATATAAGCCGGTGAAAATGAAAGTGACGTAAATGAAATTTTTAAAAAATCCGCATTATCGCTAGGGAATATTAGTCTACTCTAAAATAGTCATTTAGTCAATAGAGTACGTCAAGTTGAGCTTTTTTTCGCGAGAGAGGGCCACTTAAAATTTCGTTAGTTAATACAAAGTTATAGAAATACAAAACGTAAACCTTCTATTTCTCAATACAACGTAAATCTGACTTACGCCACTTTCATTTTCGCCGGCTCTTATTTGAATATACATATAAACCTCATGGAACACTGTATACGGAGCGAAGTATTATTGTACAATTGCACCACTGTTCCCGCGCTATAATTACAATAAACTGCTTTTTATTTCAAGACAATTTTATAATTAAAATATTGCTTTATTAATACAGTTGTTAATAATGTATGTTATCAATAAAAAAAATTTAATGTTTATGGAAATGTAACTATAGTAAAGAAGAGGGAATTTTTAGTATAAATAATTTTAAAATGTACGATATATTACATTAGATTAAAAAGGTTGCAAAAATAAACTTTTGATCATCGACTGGTAGTTCACATGTATGTTTGTGTTCACTAAATTTATGTTCGTTAGTTTCTAGTGGCCTGTGACGGAATTAAAAGAAAAGGCCCAACTTACAAGTTTAACAAAAAGCTCAATAAAATAATTATTTAGAAGTAAGGCGCTATTTTCGTTTTTAGTATAACGAAGTTAAATTACCTAAATTATAATTGTATTAAAAACTATTAACTACAAATAATTTATAGTTATAGTTGACCTGTATAACTGTGTAAAAAATACCTAATAACAATTTAACAGCTATATAATGTATAGTTTTATTTTAAATAATATGTTCATACTTAAAGAGAACTTATAGAAGAAATATAAAAAGATAAATATTGAAAAAAAATGTATAAATACTATTTGGCTGTAAAGGCCTTGTAATTTTCAACAAACGTTAAAGTCATTAAGTAAATAAAATAATAAAAATAAATAATAATGTAGCTTAAACATTATTGTCAAAATACATTATAATTAATAATAATAAAAAATCATCAATCGTGTACAATTTTGTAAGCATACCTAGTAAAAAAACATTTTTCTTTTTTTCCCGGAGAAGTTTAACATGGCGTTTACTATATTCCCTCTACATCGTCAATGTATATATTTATGAATAAATACCATAATATGTGGTAACTATAGGCTGCCACAGTACAAAAGAGAAAAATGTACATTATTATTGAAATATATTTAAAAAAGCATTATCTCAAACTTATAAAATACAACATATGAGAAAAACTAAAAGGCTAAAGGTCAGCCGATAAAAATGCTATGCTCGATCGGGTACCACCGGCCAACGTATATTTTATAATGTCTAAACTAGAAGTTGTTATTCTAGGAGGACTAACCTTTTATTTACCAAAATTGAAAAAGTGATTTAATGCACATTGCACTGCATTTAATATTTCGTTTAACTCATTTATGTTAGTCATTCACTTTTGTATTTTTTAAAGTACTCCTCAAGGTACAACTGTCTGTTTACCAATAAAAAAAACATATCCTGTAATTAATATTATATGCTTATTATAAACGTATGGTAAGTTCCAGTTGTGTTTGAGTTTTAATAGCATACACAAGTATTGAACTCTAATAGAAAAGGTTCACAACCAACTTTATATAATATATGTATATAGCGGTTCGCGTCTATTACTCGGAACAATGCTCGTCATACGAACGTGTTATAATGTTCTTTTGTTTAATATTCCTGTCTCATCGGCAGCATTTCTCTGATGTATATTAATCCCAAGATCAATGACCTTCGGGTCTTGCGTATGTGCTGAGGGCGTTTGATCATATTTTTGCTATTGAGAATTTTGTATTGATTATAATCCGTTGTGTACGTAATGAACGGTTATAATTTATTATCTAGAATCATTCAGAGTGGACAGCCAACAGGTACTAGAAGCCTAATTTGATTAAAACTTAACAACCCCAGGTTGTATACTGTTAATAGAAATTTGTAGACGTGGTTTTACACAATGAAAAATGTTTCAATGCAATTTTTTTTGTTAAATGGTTAGGCGAGACTATATTTTTATGCTTGACGAGTAAAATCGAAAGCGCATGACGGCTTAACTATATTAAGGTCCCCCGTCCCAGTGATAATTTAAAAAGATAATAAATTTAATTTTTAATAAATTTCTAGTAATAATTATAAATATAATAATATTAAGTTATATTAATATGAGAGCATACGATAATACGATAGACGATACCTTTTAATTTACTAAATTGTATTTACTTTTTAACTAATTAATACTTTTCTTAATAAATAATAAAATCAACACAAGAATTGTGTGGCATTTGTGTAATTTTTTAACTAAATGTGTTGTGTTTTACATTAATTAATGCTCCAAGCTAGCTCAATTGTCATCAGTAACTCGTAACATAAATAATTACTTAGACTATATTTGTTAAAAATAGGTCATTTGGAAAATTCAAACAAATTCATAAATTACAAAAGAAAAATATAAATTTCTGTGCGTGAATAAAATATACAATACTCCATTTAAATTCGACTGTTAAAAAATAGTAAAATAAATACTACCTTGTCTTAAACA